CTGGCTCTGCAGAGACTGCCAGCCCTTTGCCTTGTTGTGCGGAACGTGCAGGGCGAGGCTGGCTGAGCGGGAAGCCGTTCGGGCGTCGATGCTGAGTCTGGTGGCAAGGGCCCAGCACCTAGAGACTTGAGGGTAAACTCACTTTGGTTTGGAACAGCGTGGAAAGCCATCGAATCGCCTTCTACTCTCATCTCCCTGTCAGCTGTGACCCCTGTAAATACAGTGAGCAGATGGCCAGCTCTTTGAGAAATAAAAGCCCTCTTTATGTGATGGAGAAGTTTCTAAAACACCTTTGTGTTTGTGGTGGTCGTGCACGTGTGCAGCACGTGGTTCTGTCTGAGCCCCGCGCCAGCCCCTGGGGACGCCGGCCAGGCGCAGGGCCTGTGTGGGGCCTGCTGCCGGCAGCGCGCTTCATTTCGGAAAAGATGCCCCAAGGAAGGAAAGGGCCTGATCAGCCTATATTTTCAAAGTGCTGCTTCATCGTTTACATTTTTTTTTTCTTTTTACCATGAAACTGCCAGCTTTTCTATTTTGAAGGAAGCATAAGTGAGTTAAATCTGTTTTGGGTCACACACATTCTAATTGGGGCTGCCCCCTGAAGGAAGGGCATGAAGCAGGTTTGTTTGGTCTTCAGTGTCTGTTAATTCGTGTGGCACCTTGTTTTTTTCCTGCTCAAGGACTTAGAATTCAATTACTTTTAAATTTTAAATTTTGAGAGGAATTTCTGTTCTTTATTTTTAAATTCAGAAATATAAATATTGGAAATCTCACTTGGCTTCTGTCTCTCTAGACTTGTACACATATCTAAGCACACAGTGACTATAACGGAAACTTCCCAGTGAAACTTCATATAGGACAGCGGCCACATTTGACCCCAGGGCCGTAGTTTGCTGACCCTCCACTAGAACATAAATGGCCTGTATCGATTAAGTTTACATTTTTTACAAAAAATTCAAGGGATAACCGAGCGAGTGCCATCTATAAAACATTCTACTGCTATTGAGAAAAGTCATAAAACAGTTTAAATATTTTGTTTTTTTAAAAAAACACAGCACAGCACTCTGGAAAATTCCATCACATTGACTACCTCACAGATATCAATTAAGTCATAACAAATGAGGAGCCAGTTCCATCTGAACTGAGATTCTTGACTTGAAGGGTCAGCCACACGGAGTGAGGCTTGAACGATGCCATTGTACAGCCTGGGTGTTTCTTTCAGGGAGGCACCGTTTCACTGATGTGTTTCCACAGGTCTGAAAAGGAACCCCAGTTTAAGTTCATCTACTTCAACCATATGAACTTAGCAGAGAAAAGCACAATTCACATGAGGAAAACCCCCAGTGTGTCCCTGACGTCCGTGCATCCAGATTTAATGAAGATCCTGGGCGACATCAACAGCGACTTCACGAGGTAACGCTGACCACCTCTCAGACGAGCTGTCCCCCCTCCGACGAGAGCGGCGACATCGGGGGAATTGCCTGGCACACCTGGGGTCCCGGAGCCGGGTGGCTGCACCCCGCCTTCCTGGTGCCGCTTCCAGGCGGGTCGTCACACCCAGGCGTCCCCAGCCACTCGCCCGTGACTCCCCGAACTTCTCAGACGGTCTCAGATGACGGAAGTTCTTGCTCCTTATTCTGGGGTGCTTGTTTTTCGCAGTCGGGCTCCGTTGGCACCCACGCTGCATTCTGAAACCCTTGCCTTGCAGGGCGGACGAGGACGAGGAGATCATCGTGAAGGCCATGAGCGACTACTGGGTTGTCGGGAAGAAGTCTGACCAGCGGGAGCTCTATGTGATTCTGAATCAGAGAAACGCCAACCTGATTGAAGTGAATGGTAACCAGCATTTGGTATTTGAGCAGCCCTTTGATGCTTCCACGGTTCCAAAACTAGGCTTTTCACTGAGAAACATGCTGACCATGCCATCATGATGGTTGAGATGTTAAGCAGACGCCTCTCTTGCTTAAAGGAACATTTGATCATTCTGTGTTTTTCTGTAGTTTTAGTTCCTCGAAAAAGTCTGTGAAAAACTTTCCCAAGTCACAGGAAACATGACAATGGCCAAAAGAAAATTAGTTTTTCTAATGCAAAAGGGAAAAAAATCCCATGGCCTTCCGTACCGTGTAAGAGCAGGCCGCTCCTACTTCCTGTGATGAGAATGCACGCGGTGGTTCGCGACCACCTGTGTGTGCAGCGGCTGGGCAGCGAGGCCAGCGCCGTGGGTCTGCCTTCCACAAGCCGGGATCCGAACAGCCGCCTTGGCTGACCCAGGCAGCTCTGTTGCCCTCCAGGGAAGGGGACGTCACCATCCCTGCATCCTGCTACTTTGTGGCTCCGCAAGAGACCAGAGCACGGAGCAGACATTTGGGGGGATGCACCCCAAGTGCCACCTCTAAGAAAAGTGAGGTGTGAGGTTTTTTCCTGCATATATTGAGGGCCTGTTACATTTTTTTTTTATTAACACACGTGAATGGTTGTGCGTGTCGGAAACCCCAGCGAAGACACGGCTCAGTACAGTGGCACTGAGTCAAGTCCGTGGTCTCTGGAGCCCCTGAGCCGCAGTCCAAGGGTGGCGGCTGGAGTTTTGTCTTGTGCATCAGAGCTCTCAAGATTCTAGAGGCTTTGGTCCCAGCCCCTAACCCGTGAGTGTCTTCGGCACTTTGGGTGCAGGGTTTGCATCTTCTCAGGCCCAACGGAGGAGTACGTCTCTCTAACATAGCCCTGAAGTCTCATGGTGTGTTCGGCTTTTTCTTTCTCTCAGTTTATTAGTTCTTACCCAGACTTCTTAGAAATAGGTCTAAATTAATGAAGACACTAATTTATTCCCAACTTTATTCCAGAAGAATTTAAGGTACTAATAGGGATCATATAACCTTTTAAGTGAAAATCTCTCTCCCTTATTCACTGTTCTCTGTTCTTTTTTGCAGAAGAGGTGAAGAAACTTTGTGCAACGCAGTTCAATAACATATTCTTCCTGGACTGACGGATGGCTCACGGAGACATCTTCTAAAAACAACTCAGCAAGCGTTTTGTTTACCACTGCAGGTTATTGGTCATATTATTGACTGGATTAATGACAATAGTAAAGCAATACTTGCTTTGAAGAATCAAATTTCTACTCAGTCTGATGATCCCCTGGAGTTTTTAGATTTTAAATATTTATGTGGAATTAGTTAAAGATAGTCGGCTACATCTCTATCATTCCATTCTTTTGACATGTGAATATTTTACTGAAAAATAAGACAAATAAATTGTTAAAGTTTTTACAATTCTGATTTTGCATTGAGTCTCTCTCCTGTTGCCTGTTTGTGGACCACACTGGCCAGTGGGTCTCTGCCTCGTCCTGGGGGCCATTCCAGCAGCTGCAGCTCCATGGAGTTGAGGTCCCTCCTCTGGTCACTCAACCTCAAGTTCTGAACGAAGGCATTTGCCCAAAGTAATTGCCAGACTTGGTTTTTATCTCGAGTACCAGGGTTTTTAGACCTCGTGTAACACAACTTCGGGAAGTGCCCCAGTGCGGTAGGAACATAAAGCACTTTTCCGTGCCGCGGAGACTCGCAGGTAGCAGCAGCACTCTGCACGCAGCTTCACGGCCGGGGTGGGACTGGCTGATTTTCCCTAATACAGCCTAGCCTCTAGCGGTGTGGACCTCCCAGAGTTCGGGTGAAAACTAGCCAGGCCTGGCCTAAGGACCCAGGTCCTGCGCCGGCCCAGCAGGGGCCCCAAGGTCCGCTCACCTGAGCAGCACGAACCTGCTGGGTTAGGGAGGAGAGGGGAAGACTTCTCATCAACTTGTATTTGTGTTGTCTCACGCAAGTCACAGCTCCATTATGACTTTCTCTTAATCGAGGAGTCACTTAAGATTGTATGGTTTACTTTCCAATGATCTGAGGCTTGCTTTATAGTGTGTGTTCATTGCTAGCTTGTTAATTACAGTGCCATTAGATCTGGTCTCCGAGGCATCATTTGAAACTGTTGCACTTTTCATCCAAAAATGTAGCCAGTGTTTATTGCACTCTGGTTTCTGTTAGATCAAATGTTTCAGTTTAGTTGCTTCAATGGTGTCTTTACTAAATGTTGTCTTCCTCATCTGTTCCTTTATGATGACAGTTTTCTTCCCGGTAACTGTCAGGTTTTGCAAGCAATCTAACCATTTTGATTACATTTCTGTGGTACATTTTTTTTCATATTTTTATTTTCATCCTTTCTATTATGGTTTTGTTGAAGATATTTCCCTTATAAAGAGTAACACTGAAGTGAATTTTGATTTTTCAGTCCAATCTAAGTATCTCTGGGTCGGGGGCGGAAGAGGTGGGTTTAGTCTGTACATTTGGTGATTCCTGGGAACTTTGTACGTCTCCCTACCATCTTCATTTTCTGTTTCCATCTTTTTTTCTTTGTTGTTTTCCCTTTTCCCAGATTTATGTTGGATGAGTTTCCTCCCTTCTGCTAATTTGGAAGTTATACATTGTATTTTCATTGTTCTTAAGCTTTAAAACAAGTTGTTAGCTCTTAACAGTTCATAACAGAGGCTTAACCCCGACTGCACAAGGGCTCCTGGCCTGTTGCTCGGCCACGTGGCTTGTGGTGCTGTGAGTTGGAGGAAGCCACACCAGAGGTGACAAGGGAAGGACAGGCAGGAGGAGGCCACAGGGCGGTGACAAGGGGCAAAGGAGCTGAAGAAACCCTTCAGTAAGTTCATCTACTCCCCGCAGACATCTGATTGGTTTTATCAGACTCTAAACTTAATCACCAACCTATTGAATAAAAGTCATTGACTAAACACTTATTCAATACCCATATACATTTATTTTCATTCAGCTCAGTCTTCCATGCAGGCATTTCAGTGATCCGGCCTCAGCAAATCCTGCAATGCAGTGGCCCAGGGGGTGGTATTTCAAACACACTGAGACAGGAGGCAAAGCAACCGGCTTTACTGGTCAGCAAATTTGTCACAGTGCTTTGGTTCTAAACTCCTTTTACATTTACAAACCCAGGAACCCCTATTTTTTCTTTTTCCTACTGAGGACGGGTTTGGGTTGGACCACCATGTCCTCCTTAGGGGGACTGGGCGCCAAGTGCAAGGAAGAGGCTTCCACCGGCTCCTTGATGACGGTGATGTGGACCTCATAGTCCTGCCTTTTGGCCTCTTCCTCTCTCAAGCTATTCAGCCTAAGATGAGAAGCAAACAGAAGGAGGGTTTTTTTTTTTTCTCTGTAATATCAAAAGCAGCGTTTATGTGCTGTGATGTAAAGTCATCTAAACCTGGACGGCAACGTACAGTTTTGTCTCCAGAACGGACCTGTTTTTGTCACAAAAACCGTAAGTTACCATCACTGCCTGAAAAGAAATGCCACCGTATTTGGACATTATCTACAGTGACTTGCAAACTGCTTTTCTCTCAGCAGCTAGCAGCTAGTAAGTAGCCTTTGAAAACACTTACTCTTTTTCCTTAAGTCCAGCTTAATCATTTCTTCGACAGACTGGCAGGCTTGAGGTGCACTTTCTGCACTTTTTTGAGGTGCAGAAAGCAGGTGTTTGTACTCTGGACCCACATGCCTGCGTGCCTGCGTAGCATCAAGCCTGGACAGTGGTTCTAGAAAGGCGAGTGCACAGCCCCCACTGGGCACTCAGCGAGTGCCGGTCACCATTCCTCCCCGCAGGCCTGTGGGCTGTTATCTCCAGCTAACAATGAGGAAATGGGTGCACAGTGGCACCCCTTGCCCAGGGCCACCCAAGTGTTAAGTGGTGGGGCTGGGATTTGAACTGGGAAAGACCACTCTAGATCTGTGGTCTTTCAGCCACTCTGTCATACTGCCTTTTCGTGGGAGCCTCGCAACACAGACGTCACTACCATCTTAGACAACAGGAGAGAACAGGCAGCTGAGAGGCAGGGCTCTCCCTGGTAGCCACAGGTGCTCGGCGCCCCGTGAGGACACGCCACCTTCAGAGGAGTGTGTGTGCTCTTGAGGAAAGCACATGGTCCTGAAGCTCCTGGCAGCTCCAGGGAACAGGCAGGAGAGGGCCCAGCGAGCCCGCGGGGGTGCGGCAGGTGGAGGGGGCCGTTACCTAGCTTCCAGCTCGTCGTCCTCCAGCTCTTTCTTCTTGGCAATGGCCGCAAGCTGCGACCTGTTTTCCTTCACTTTCTTCTTGAGAACCCCTTGGCACCTGTGTGCCGGGAAGAGGACGTTCACAAAGAAGAAACACACGCGGCTGAGCCACAGGCGGAGCTTCGCGTCCTGGTCATCCTCGGGGTTTTCCTCTGGAAGAAAGTTTCGTTTTAGTGGACACCCATGCGGCTCTGCAGCAACCGCGGAGGCCGGGTTCACGTCCTGGCCCTCCCGGCGGTGCCCCCAGCCTCAGTGACAGCGGGTGCTGCGCTCTCAGGCCTCCGGGGGGCCAGGGAACCACACAGCGCTTCGCGGGCTGCCTGGAACGAGGCAGGGGCCCCAGGCCGCAGCCGTGACTGTCAGCTGCTCCTTCGAGTCTCCTGGTGCCTGTGCTTTTTTTCTAAATAGCGTAAGTGTTTTGGTTTTCTAAAATTCAAATTTTAGAAAATTTATAACACTTTCTATGTCTTGGGGGGAAAAAGGAGACCTCTTGGCATTTGCATAAATTGTCTTTTTTTTAAAAATAATTATTTATTTTTAGAGAGAGGGGAAAGGAAGGAGAAAGAGAAACATCGCTATGTGACAGAGACATCAATCGGTAGCCTCTCGCACAGCCCCAAATGGGGACCTGGCCCGTAACCCAGGCATGTGCCCCGACTGGGAATTGAACCGGCGACCTCTCAGTTCTCAGAGTGGCACTCCGTCCACGGAGCCACACCAGCCGGGGCTGCATACATTTGTCTTTAAAGGTAGTTTCACTAAGAGAATAATAAAGAGGATTTTAACTCTGAATTAAATAAGAAAATAATTACTGACTTGTGAAATAAGTCAGAGAAAGAAAGACACTATGTCATCTCATTTATACATAGAATCTTAACAACATTAAAAAAATTCATAGAAAAATAGATCAGACTTGTGGTGCCCAGAGGCAGGGGCGGGGGAGGGCAAAGCAGGTGATGACGGCCGCACAGCACAGACTTCCTTTCTCAGATGCGCAAGCAGGGGTGGCGCGGTGGCTGGTTGGCCCTGCTCTGCGGTCCGCATGCACGTCAGGTGTGCAAAGCCTGAGTGTCCACCACAGGAAAAGTTTCTTCTTGTGTTTTCTCAGAGGACGGATATTAAACATATTGTGGTCACCATTTCATGATGCATGTAAGTCAAATAATAATGTGGCACGCTTTAAACTTATGCAGCCCTGTAAGTCAATTCTAGCTGAATAACACTGGAAAAAATACTAAAAACAAAAAAAAACACACAAACCTCAGTAAGATCATGCCCTGAAAGTGACCTCTTTCAAGCAAGTGACCTCTTTCAAGCAGGAGACAGAACTGGAAACAGCAGTATCAGTCGAAATACACACACACACACACACACACACGGCAGTTGTACATTTTTTATAAATTTTATATAATTTATAAGCAACAGTTTGCCAAACTTAAAGTTCTGTAATTACGATACTCACCATTTTGAGGTAAATAAAGGGTTAGCCCTTCTCCTGGAGATATAAAATTCATTTTGGAAATTCTGTCATCACTTAGAGACTTCTGGAACTTGGGCTTTTATGTAAAAAAGAAAAATCATAAAGCTAAATATTATTTCTGCAGCATTATGGACTAAAACTAACTTTCTACATTTTAATAATTAGAAGATTGTTAATGAGGCCATTCTCTTTAAGCTAATTTGGCTCTTTTTAACAAGCATAAAATACCAATACTCATACTACCAATGAAATAACAGTTACTGTACCTACTGCAAGGCTCCCCCCAAGAAATCAAAGATTTGAAAAAGTGTTTATTACAGTTACCTCACATTCATAAGTGGACGGCTTTAATTACCGCATGTACGCTGTTTACACCCACATTCCTGCCTCCAGCTAGATCTCGCCCTTCACTCCACTCTTGTGTATCCAGCTGTGCCACTTGCCGTCCCCGCTTGGAGGACCTGCCCTGATATGTCCAAAACCAACCCCTTGCCTTTGCTCCAGTCTCCTCTCCCCCGCCCCAGCCTCCCCGGTGAACGGAGACCGTTCGTTCGTCTAACCCATCAGGCCGGAAACCGAGGCGTTTCTCTGCCAGGAAGTCTTTGCTTTCGCTGTCCCTCTCACTCCACAGCCTTCAAAACCCCTCCAGATCATTCCCTAGGCTCCCTGGCTGCTCTGGCAGCGGCGAGGCTGCAGGGAAGCCTGCTGACCCTCCGCTCGGCGCGTCCGCTGCAGCCGCCCCAGTGCCCCGCCCGCTGCCCCTCTGTTCCATCCGCAACCCGCGTGCGCGCGCCTCAGGCCTCTGCGCAGGGCGGTCCTCTCCCAGGCAAAGACACAGCTGCGCCTCACTCCTTCAGGTCTGCTCAACCGTCCCTTCATCAGGAGACCTCCCTGACTGCCCCCCCCCCCCGTTGATCGATGCACAGGAGCAAATCCGGAGTCCGGGCCGGCATCGTGCCCCCGGGCTCCACCACCGACCAGGTCTGCCACGGCGGGCACGTCACTGAGCCCTTCCGGCCCCGGGTCCCGCCTGGAGACCGAAACAGCACCTGCGGCCGTGTGGCGCCTGGTGAGCCCCGCGTGGGCCTCAGCTGCTCTGTGTCCGCCTGCTACCATCTCCCGTCTTCACTCGAAGGTGCGGCCCACGGGAGGACGGGCTGCGAGTTCGCTGCTGGTCTCCAGCACAGGAAGGGCATTGTCACATAGTAGGTGTGCGTGAGTGGTGGAAACCAACCTCTGTTGTCTCGATTTCGCTGAAGTTGCACCAGAGGCCTAACTTGCCCGACGACGACCTGGCGCCGCTGCAGCGCCCGGCGGGGTCCTGGCTCATCTCTGGACTCGGACTCCTGTTCTGGGTGTTCAGAGCAGGGACAGGCTGTGAGAGAGGTAATGGTTTCCATGGAAATAGGCATGCACACACACGATTTGAGCGAAGCATCGTGTACAGTGAACGTGTCTGCACCTGTGAAGCCGTCTCCTTGGTCAAAACAGTGAAATGTGCCTGTCCCTGCAAAAGCTGCCTGTGCCCTGCGGTGACCCCTCGTCCCCGCCCCCAGTCACGGCTGATCGCCTGCCATCACCGCAGGTTACATTGCACTTTCTGGGAATTCTATGTAACTTTATATAAGCACAACAGTATGCACCTGTTTTGGTTTGGCTGCTTTCCCCCAGCACAGTTACTTTGATTCATGCATGGTATTGTGTGTATCGTGCATTATTTCACTGCTGACTCATGCACCATTGCATGACTGCAGTATGACTTGTTTATCCCAGTGGACATTTGAAATGCCACACTGACAACCAGAAGTGACGCTGGCCAGATGGTGTCTGAGGACAGTCCCCAGACCGGATGTTCACGCTCAGTCACCGGAGTCCATGGCGATGCCATCTGTAAGGTCGCTTGCCTCAGAGCAGCACCCAGACCCAGACCGCAGCCTGGCGCCAGGCTCCCAGGTGACCAGGGGTGGGGGGCCTGCCTGGCCGCCGCAGTGAACCGGGAGGCGCTGCAGGGGAACAGGGAGCTGCAGCCCGCGAGGGGCCCAGGGCACAGCCCAGGGATCGCAGCCCGAGTCTCCCCTAGACCACAGTGAGGAGGCTCCTGCGCGAGCAGCTCCGAAGAGTTCCGCAGCCCCCCGCGGGGTCCCCTGGCTCCCCACAACCCCTTGTAGCTCCAATGGCTCCAAAACCAGAAATCCTCCAAGCCTACTAACCTGAACCCCCCATCCAAAACTGGGGCGTCTCCATCTGTCCCAGCACCGAAGCCGTCAATGAAGCACTGCCCCGGGCCTGGCCCCAGCCAGGTCTCGGGGCGAACGAAGCCTGGTGTCCAGGCCTGTGAGCAGCCCCTCCTCAGGGACCCCCTAGTACCTCGTGCCCACTCAGGAGCTGCCCCTTAGCATCTCCACTCTGGGACGCGCTTTCCGCCCTTGCAAACACTAGACCATGCGACGACACCTTTCACGACAAAACACCTCAGGTGTTCTAAGAACCCGCCTGGCGTGTTCGCAGGCACCTGCCCTTCGCTCTCCTATCGTGGCTCGGAGTCTGTCTCCCGGGGTGTGACCAGGAAGTACATTTTCTCTAACTTAAGGAAGAAAAACAAAATATGAAAAGACGACTTATTTCCTGAAAGGTTACAAAAGCCCAGGATACTTTTGAGGATGGTCTAACCATTCCAGAAGAAAACCATTCCTTGCTCTAAATTGTAACATATTACTCGTTACCTTATTTGTTGCCATATAAGTGCTTCCAAGTTCCTCTCCAGTGAAGTAATTGTTTTGAAAACTTAAATAGGATCTAGCCATTTGGTCAGTAACATAGATGAATGCAAAGCTTAAGAGAGCTTCAAAGAATTCCAGGAAAACCAGCTGCAACAGAAGGAACGACGGCGTCTTAGTCACCCGGACCTGCCTCGAGGCCAATCGGCGCCTCGTCGCGGCGCCCCTGTCTGTCCTCCGGAGGAGACCCCCTCGCTGCATGAGGGTGGTGGGTGTACACTGGTTTGCAGCCAAACCCACAGTGTTTAAAAGACCTCTCACGGTGTATGTTCTATCACTAGATTTGTCATTTTTCTATTTTGATGAAACACTTTATATTAGCTAACTGAAGATAATCATTTTCAAAAGTACGTCCTTTTTTCTTGTACAACTAGAGAAGTGGCACCTGAGAACCACGCGTCAAGTGCAAGTGCCACCTGCTGTGCGGCCATCCCCTCCCGCCTGCCCTCCACGGTCCGACACACGGGCCTGCGGCGCGGGCACACGTGGGGCTGGCTGGCTGGGCCTGGGATCACCCCCCGCCACGCCCGTCAGCCCTGCACCAGCGCTGACTGGTTGGACCAGCGGCTGCAGGCCGGCCCCTGTCTGCTCCCGGGGACGACCCAGCCCCCCACGACTGACGACACATGCAGTCGGCCCACTGGAGGAGCTCAGGCAGTGCCTTGGGTTTATGACATGTCTACCACGGAGCCTGAGCATGCATTAAACTGCTAAGTAAATTCTCCATGAACTGGAATGGTAGGGTTACATTCTTTTGACTTTGTTCATTTCCTGACATCTCATGTTTTCTTTTTAATATTAATCTCTAGTTTTCTAATGCAATCAAGGATATGTATGTATACATGCACACATATACATATGTGTGCACACACATATGCACACACGTGCACACACACACATATAGTTTTATGTATTGGGATTAGAATTCTTTTAAATCAAATCTTGCTTCTTGGTATCCAAGAAAAAACAGTCTGAACTGGATCTATACCATTTACGTCACCTCTTTACAGACCTCAAGTTCAAAGTTGCTGTCAATTCCGTCGTTCATGAAAGGATTGTCCTCTGCTATGACCTCCACAAATTTGGTTGCTGTTAACTCTTTATTGATCATTTTAAAGTCCTGTGAAAGAAACAGCCAGTCACACCATAATGGCCTATCATTACAAACAGCTATATATTTTTAATGGCAGTTCATATCAATACAACAATTTAAGAAAATGTAACCAGAAATGATTATCTTAGAAAGTGGTGATTTGATAAAGCATTCTCTATTAACATTGGTAGTTACCTCTCTTCTCCAAACGTAATCCTTCAGAAATACCAGTAGAGAGGTTCTGAGAGGCCTACACCCAGGACAGAGAGAACGCGAAAGCAAGCCACCCAGATGTGAGAGGTCAGCCGGGCTCTGTCAGAGGGAAAGGGCTGGGCGGCGGACTCAGCGGGACGGGAGCAGGGCGCCTGGGGAGGCGGGGGCAGGCCAGGGCCCGCTGCCAGAGCCCGCGAGGGAGGGGCGCCTCCGAAAGCCGCGCTGCAGGAGGGGCTGCACACAGAGGACCCCCCGAAGGCTGGCTGAAGACTGGAGGTGCGCTCCCCGAGACACTGAACCGGAGGGCACTCGGCCCGGGGGACACTTGGTCCCCTAGTCACAGTGCTGCGGAAACGAGGGTCAGGTGCAAGGGCCTCCTGGGAAACTCCTCTGTCCACATCGACCCCCCCCACACCCCACTGTTCTCAGATCTGGAAACCAGGCTTCTGTCTCCCAGGAGTTGGGAGACATCCTCCCTTGCAAAACAGAACATCCGAGAAAAGAGATGAATACAGAGAGGGCTGGCTGCGGAGGAGGGGAGCCAGGGACAGCCTCCCGGCTTGGTTACCCCCCAGATGTCGTCTAGTCTCTGACACGTGCCACTCGCCCCCCAAAGGCTTCCCATGTGCCGCACCCCTACGTGCACACGGGCAGCCAGGGCTCAGCACGCACAGGGGAAGCCAGCAGGGAGAACAAGAAAGGAGGTTTCACATGCGGGTGTACACACACACAAACACGCACACACCGCGCCACACTTACATTTCTTCAAGCACCCTACCCCGCCAGCATTCAGTTCCTTTGGTTTTAGCCCTCAACTTCCCACAAGTATAAATCAAAAGCATCATGAAACAAAAACCACCAGTACTTAGCACGAGAATATTGTATAAATTAGATGTTCTCACTATTTTCCAAACTGGTAACATTTTAAAATTCCTCCTTTGATGAAGGATGATTTTTAAAAACGCCATTCGCTCCCCTGCCCCCTTCCTCGCCGGCAAGCTCTGCTCTAGCACAGACCCCGGGCGGCCGGCTGCACCGACCCCGTGGGCAGCGGGGCTACTCCCTTCTGCCCACAGGGACCCAGGAAAGGTTCAGCGGCTCTGAAAAGGCCTCCCACACCTCACCCTGTTTTTTGAATCGCAGTTCGCCTATTCTCCCTTCAACGAAAATCACAGCGCCTGCAAGGACAAAGCCGGTGGGGGCCGGCGGAGCGCTCACCTCGAGCATCCAGAGGAAGTGCCTCACCTTCATGGTGAGCTCATGCGGTGGCACTGCGCTCGGCCGGCAGTGCGCCCTGTAAACCTCCCAGGTCATGTCGACGTAATTCATCGAGTACAGCGTCTGCTGCTGCTCACTGAACAAATGGCCTAAACGTACCACCGAAGATAAACATTCAAAAAAAGATCACAAAACTGTGTCTTGAAAAACGAGTGAAGAGAATCCTATTGGTTTTGTATTTACCTTTTACACAGCAGGCATTGGGGTGAATGTTCTCAGCCATCAGCTTTGTAAAACACAAAAACAGCGAGGGGCTTCTATTCCTGTGGTAAAAAAGGCATTACCATCACTCCTGCCTCCAGCAGGTGGGCCGCAATCGCCCTCCTAGAGAGGGGCCGGGAAGGGCTTGGTAACCGGCTTCTCACACGTGGGGCAGAGAAGGGGCAAAGCACCATGCTCAGTGGACAGGAGACAGTCCTGGCTGACCTCGCGGTGACCGGGCGGTCAAGGGTGACATCGCCAGCAACGAGACAGATCACAGCCCAGCAGGGAGGGAACAACGGGCAGCGCACCAACCCGCGCGCTCGGTGCCGTGACGGGAGAGCATTAGCAGACCGAAGTCAGGGGCGCGTCACGGAACGGCTGACCGCTAGTCTTCAAAAGCGTCGAGGGTGTAAAACAGAAAGTCTGAGAAACTACCACAGGGCGTAGGGGACTGAGACATGACAACAACATGCCACGTGGGATCCTGGATTAGACTGTGGGACAGAAAAGAGACATCGGTGGGAAAACTGGGGACCTCGTCTGCCGGGCTTCCACCGTTTTGAGCTGATAGCTCATGGTTTTGTGGTTGGTATTTTTGGTTCTAGTCCTTCAGTTCTAGAGTGTGTAAAAATCACAATAAATGCTGAAGGACAGAGGACAAATGCCGTGACTCCGGTGACAGCTAGCGCCGCCCCTGTCCTCTGGCAGGGTCCAGAAGTGGTACTTACTGGAATTCTTTGTGGTGAATGTGATAGGCCAGCTGCAGGAGGTAACTCAGAAATGTCCTCAAAAGTATTTTTGTAAATGGAGAATGAATTTCTTCAGCTGGAATGTCATTATTATCTAAAATAAGAAAATTGGAGAGGATGGCTAGTATTTTCTAGAACCTTCTATTTCACTTGCTCCTGGTACGCAAGTCAAAGATGTGAATACTAGCACACAATTCCAGGAACTGAGTATTTTCTTCCTAGAGAATACTCTGAACTGTATATCCACATCCACTTAAAAATTAAGTCCCACTTGAAAGATACATCTGGTTACTTTATGAGAAACTCTCAAGATCCTGTGTCTCAACACTTTTCAAAGTCTTCTGACCCACAACTGATTAATGCAGATAACTCTAAATGGATGCTAACTCTACTTCAAACACTTAAATGTAAAGTGAATCGGTATTAGTTCTAATATTTTATTTTTCAGATTGGTAACTTGAGGCTTTCAGTCCTGCCTCCCAGAATTCATCTGAAATGAGTAAAACCTTCAGAGGCATTAAATGTGTTGCATGGACTTTCTAACTAAAACTCAAGACCAAGCCCAAGACCACCTAAAGCGTTTTTAGGCTGTTCCAAGCCCTCCCCGGCCCTCTCTGCTTCTGCCCCGACAATGTAGCGCGTTTCACGGCAGCTCAGGGCCAGACAGTAAATGCGATACTTCAGGCTCCGAAGGCCGGTCCCTGTCACAACCACTCAGCTCTAGTGTCTGCGGGCACAAGTGGGCTCGGCTGTGTTCCCATCAAACTGTATTTACAAGAACAGGCCGGGGGCCCCCGCGTTGCCGCCCCACTGCAGATGGCCTTGGTGTCCCTGCCACGTCACACGGTTGCTTCTTCACTCACGTCTTAAGCAGCTTGAGAAGGAGCCCATGTGTGGGATCTGCAACGCCTCCCCCAGCCTTTGCCTTCAGCCCCTCACACTCCCCGGCGGGTTCTGGGCGGACATCACGGTGCGCCTCCCTTTGAGCCAACAGGTGAGGGGGACCTGGGATACTCACCACCTAATACCCTGTCCATATCCGCAAGAGTTATTTTGTGGTGATGTAATTTGCAGTCCTTCAGAAACCTCCAGAAGTGAAGCTTTGTCATCAGAAAGGTGTCATCCAGGGAGCAGTCGCATCCTAGGCTGCTGTAGAAGCTATAGATTCTTCTTAACTCCGTAATGTTTCTTAAGATGGCATATTCTACCTGAGAAGAGAAAGCTGTGCGCATCTTCTCTTACCCAGTAAGAACAGAAGCAAAAGAGGCACCTGTTCTCTAAATTAAACGGATAAGGAGCAAGTGGTGCATGTACCCAGTGGAATACGATTCAGCCATAAAAAAGAATGAAACCTTGCCATCCGCAGCAACATGGGGGGACCCAGAGAGTGAAATAAGTCAGACAAAGACAGACAAAGGCCAGATGATTTCACTTATATGTGGAATCTAAAAAATAAACAAACAGACAAGCAGAACAGAAACAGACTCAAAAGAGATCCAGAAAACATTTTTATGGCTGCCACGTGGATGGGGTGCATTAAGGGAAGAGGAAAAAAGGTGAAGGGGTTAATAAGTGCAAATTGGTAGTTACAGAACAGTCACGAGGATGTGAAGTACAACACAGGAAATACAGTCAATAATATTGTAATAACTATGGTGTCAGATGGGTACTAGATTCATTGGGGTGATCTCTTCTTAAGTTATATCTAATCACTGGATTGTACATCTGAAACTAATATAATATTGTACGTCAATCATAATTGAAAAATAAATTATTTTTAAAAAGTATTTAAGCCTAAAATACAAATGTGTAACAATACAAACAGTTTTTACCTGCTTCTGTTCCTCTGGTTGGTCTTTCTCAGGGTACATACTTAGCAACAAACGCAGGTCCAGCTCAACGCTTGTGCCCAACACTGGACTACTTTCACTGCCGTCGAGCTTCCTGATAATTTCTAGCAAATGAAGGCAAACGTAGGGGGTCATGGTGAGGAGCAATGTTCAGCTTTGTCAATGTTATGCCAGAACAATTTTCCACAGAAGTGCAATACAAGAGTGTTCCAAACAACCTAAGGACGCATCTGCGCACGGGAAACATCTGTTTTCTGAAGCATTAGGGGTATTTTGATGAGTGGGTACCATCGAAAACAGAGATCAATTAACTTTCATCCCCCAGGTGCACACTGCCTACCAGTGCTGGAAGACCCTCGGAACTGGCACCCGAGGGCAGGGTCTGCAGACGGGTCTGGGTCCTTGATCAATTCACCCTCAAGGCCTGGGAGCTTCGCTATGTGGTCGTTGCAAAACGGGCCGGTATACACACGCCCGTTCTTGAGAGTTAGTCGGCCCTGCAGATAGAAAGGTAACTTCTGTAGTTGAGGAAAAATAACATGCCTTTTACTGTATTTCAAGTGCTTTCCATAATCTTTAAATTTTTTAAAAATATTTTATTTTTAGAGAGAGGGAAAGGGAGGGAGAAAGAGAGAAACATGGATGTGCAAGAGATACATCAATTGGTTGCCTCTCACACACCCCCAACCGGGGACCTGGCCCACAAGCCAGGCAGGTGCCCTGACTGGGAATTGAACCGGCGACCTTTCAGTTCCCAGGCTGGCACTCAGTCCACTGAGCCACACAGCCAGGGACACAATCTTCCAAATGTAATCTTTAAGGATCTGTACTCACCATGCCGTGTTTTTTATTGAAAACCCATTCGCCCTCGTATACGGCTCCACTGGCATAGTAAAAGGTCCCGTAGCCGTGCCGGTACCCGTTCACAAAGTTCCCTCTGTACTCATTTCTCAGAGGATACTGGGAGTTGGGGGCTCTCTTTAGAAACCACGTGTGTGTTCCTAAACCATTCTGAAAAGAAAGGACGTTTCCATGAGAAATGTTCTCAAAATTTCCTCTGTTTACTTGAGTCTATTGACGGTCAGGTATGGAACCACCACCCTGACCCGTTTGATGGGGCAAAGAACCCGGACGTTGGGGTCACGGAGAGCTGGCTTCCATCTCAGCTCAGCTCCGTGCTGGCCAGTCCTGGCCTAAGGCAGATCGTTCAAGCCCTCCGTTTCTCACCTGTGAACTGGGGGCAACACCTCCCCTGTGCTGGCTGTGTGTATCGGTCAGAGCCAGTGCACGTGACGTGCCTGGCTTGAGTTTCTAAACTTACTAGAGCTGGAATTTCAGATTGCCACACACAGCGACACCGAAGCCCGCACAGGCTGCGGGCCCGCGGGGTGCCTGCCTCCGGCGTGTCCTGCGGGTACCTGGACGCCCCTGTCCCACTGGCCGCTGTACTCTTCGTTAGTTGTCAGCCACCTCATCATGCCTTCCCCGTGGCGCATGTTGTTTTCCCACCGACCTTCGTACACATTTCCAGATTTATAACTAGGACCAAAAAAAAAAAAAAAAAAAATAAAAATAAAAACAATCGGTTATCTCCTATGCACTCATTTACCTCTAAGATTTTCTCTTAAATGTTCTCCCTGAATTCTCGTGAAGAAACCTAACCCTCTCGCCCATACAATCTTCCCTGTAGTTTAAGTCCGTGGATGGGTATGTGGCACGTAAAAATAACCACCTTAGGAGGGGCAACAAAGCACTTTATTAAACTTTCTGATCACCTAATAAGGTGGCAAAGCGGGTAAGAGCAGGGATTTTAAGTCTTTACAGATAATTCCCTGTAGTGTTATAGTTAGTTAATATTTTGCCGCCCCCCCCCAAACATTTTGACCCTATCAGCTCAGTCTAAAAACCAAGCACATGTAGCAAGTCTTCAGAAAACGTAAAACATATCGTGGAGACCCACAGCGCATACGGAGGACGGAAAAAGGCCGTTTCTAATCTACACGAAGTGAAACAGCGCATTCAGGCATCACTTAAGGTGGTGCTTGTCTACACTTCCTGTCGGATATTTGCATTGCCGTGAGGGTGCACCGGGGTTGAACCTTCCCCTGCTCACACGGAAAACACGGCCTCTGCCCTCTCTCCACCCTCGTTAATCCGCCTAAGTGACTGACGCGGGGGTGGGGGGCCCTCCACCCACGTCTGCCCACACTCCAGGCGAGCAGCCGCAGCACCTACCGTCTGACCCCCCAGCCCTTCTTCACGTTGTGGACCCAGTTCCCCTCATACGCAGAGGTGCCCTCTTCATTGTAATAAATGCAGCCCTAAGATAAATAATATCATTTTTTAAAAATCAAGCCTCATACAACAAATCCCGTTGTGTAGGTAAAGATAAAAAACGTACTATATGAATTTAAGGGGCCCAAGTTATGCAGAAGTCAAACATCACACTCAAGCAAGACGTGTAACCCATGTTACGCTTCTGTTTTGCAATCAAGAACATGGTAGTTTCCACCGAGGGAGAATGAGCTGACGTCATAACTTAATGACTCCTTAAAAACAAAGTGCCACATGAGGGCATGGGTTGTCGACTACTTTCATTACCTTCAGTGTATTCATTATATGTGTAACAAGCCATCAAGTAAGCACCTAAAGAAATCCTGGTTTGTTGTCACCTAAAGTGAAGGGTAGCACCTTCCACATCACTGAAGGTCACTCCCGTAGGTACCAAAACCATTTTTCTTTTATCCATTTGGACATCTTACTTACTTACTTTACTGCTTCCTAATACAGGTGACCACAGTGTCACATTTCTGTGATGACTTCTCTAAGGGACAGGCCACTGTGCAAGGTATTTGGAGCTATGCTGACTGGACTCAAGTTAGTGGTTTATTCACTGGTGTGTGTGTGTGCACACGCACGAGAAGGAGACCTTCCCATCTTCTTGCTCATTATCAAGCTACCTTGTTCCTCTGCAGCCACCGGGGTGCCTCCGCGGAGCCCTCGCCACCCTGAGCCTGAACTGATCTGCAATGAGCTAGAACTAAACACAACACAAGACATTAGCTGAACAGTCTACATCTGGGGAAAGTGATGACTATAATGCCTTTTCTTTTCTAAACATATTGCTACCGTATTTCACCATCCCATACCAAAGCAAACCACCACCTTGCTTAGAAGCAAACATAAGCTACGCTGCTGGTGACAATGTCAATGGTGTAGCCACCATGGAAAACAGGTTGGTGGTTCTTCAAAATGTTAAACCTCAAGTTACCATGTGACCTAGTGATTCTACTCCTGGCTATATACCCAAAAGATCAGCAAAAAAGCGCTCAAATGAATCCTTGCACACGTTCATAGCGACACTGTTCACAGCACCCAAGAGATGGAACCAGCCGAGATGCCCCGCAATGGGGCGAGTGCGTAAACAAAGGGTGGCCCGTCCATGCAGTGAGATACTATCCAGACATAAAAAGGCGGGAAGCACCTACAACACGGATGAACCTCAAAAACACGGTGCTCTGTGAAAGAAGCCAGACACAACAGATCACATATTGTATGGTTCTGCTTCGTATGAAATGTCTAGAATAAGTAAACCCCGAGACAGAGAAAGCAAGCTGTCGGCCCTGGCGGGGAGGGAGGAGTGACTGCCTAATGGGCATGGGTACGGGCGGATGGAACGTCTGGGGACAGGACAGAGGCTGTGTTTGCACAACACTGAAAGCGCACTGATGCCACAGGCCACCGAACTGCTCACTCTAGAATGGTTAATTTCATGTGACATGAATTTCGCCTCAATAAACAAAAGTGGATATACCCTCACAGCCCCCGCTCCCCGGCCTCGGTGTTTGGACAATCTGCGTGCAGATGGCCAGCCCACGGCGGCCTCACCCACCGTCCCGTGTCTCTTGCCCTGGCACCAGTGGCCGATGTAGGACACGGGCTGCGAGCTGCACTTGAACACACCAAATCCGTTCCTCATGCCGTCGATCACTTCTCCTTGGTAGGTGTTGCCATCCGGCCACGTGTACACACCGAGGTTCATGGGGATGTTCTTTACAAAGTCCCCCTGAGGCAAAAAAACCGGGGGAGGGACAGAAAGAAGGCGGTGGAGGCATCGCTCAGCCTGAGGGACGCTTGAGACGCGCCCTTGACTACCGGCACTACATCTGTCTCTCCCCTGCGGAGACGCCCGGCTGTCCCCCCGGCTTCTGCCCTCCTCCTTCCGTCTCCACTCTTCCCGCCCTCCCTCCCCTGGCCCCTCCATGGCAAAGCAGCCCAGGCACAAAAGTGTATCTGCGTGCCGACTGAGCTCCAAGCAGCAAGCCGGTGACATCCTGGCCTTGGGAACTGTGGATTCTTGGAACCCACCCCACAGGAGGCTGTGAGTGGACTTGAACCCTGGGCCCTCTCGGAGAGCAGTTCGGTGCTAGCAGTTGCCTTAAAAATACAGACTGCCCTCACCCCAGCAAGACGGGTCTGTGAGACCCCCAGAGAGGAAGGGACGGCTGCGGTCTGACCTCTGCAGAGTGAAGGCACAGGAGGGAGGGCGTGGGAAACTGCTCGCCTAGAGGAGAGGGCCAGGGCACGCCTGGCACGTCAGAGCCCTCTGGAATGCGCAGGTGACCCTGCCAACACCACCAGAGGGTCCTAGGGTGTAACAACTCACTTTTCACCAGCGCCCTTTGGCTCCGTGGATTTCATGTGCTGAATCCTTTTATGAAAGTAGTACGCTTCATTGTGGGAACCTGACCATTACATCTCACAACTACAGTTTAGAACTATCATGTATTATGTGCTTCACCTCATATTTCAGTCCATCAGCCCAGACGTAAGTCCCTGGTCCGTGCATGAGTCCTTCTGAAAACATACCCTTCAAAACAGAACAAGGACAAACCCTTGGGACCGGGCACGGGCTTCACATGACAGCTGCCACCGACGGCGCCAGTCCTTCCCCACCTCCATCTGCGCCGACACGCCGTCTCCGTGGGCAGCACCCGCCTCTGAGCTGGCGCCGCTGTGGCACCCACCTCGTTCTGAGAAGGACCTGAGGCGGGGTCCGAGGAAAGCCCGCTGCCTGCGACTTGCCCCAGGCAGCCCTGTGCGGTCGTTAAACAGGAGCCTGAGTTCAACCTGGGCCGGTATTCGTCAGAGCTTTTACGAAAAACTTAACAAGTATGATAAGGGCGGGGTGGGGGGGGACGGGGGGGGGACCGGGTGCTAAAAGTCACGCTATGGCCGCAAGCACAGAAACCTGTGCGCCTGTAGTAATCACGTATTGTTCTGATAGTCTGGGTGAATGAAGGCCTTCGCTGTGGCATTGTTAATAAATGCAAAAAAGTGAAAACACCCCGAAAGTACCCAACAGCTATGGTATGTCTGTGACTAGTAAATTAGAATGCTATGCAATGTTAAAAATTATTATAATGGAGGAGGGAATGGGGATCTAATGTTGAATGGGCAGAGTATTTTTGGAATGATGAAAAAGTCCTGGCACAGGAGTGAAGGTTGTACAACCTGGTACGTGTACTTAATGGCACTGAACTTGTACACTTACAAATGGTTAAAATGATGAATTTTATGTTATATATATTTACCACAATAAAAACAAGTTACAAAACCATGTAACAACACAAAGAAGGATGCATAAGTCAAATAAGATCCAAGATGCTACCTACAAAATGAATACACCCAGGTGAGAATGCTGATACATCCATTCAAGGAATGCAAGGAACACAAAATTAAAAACGTTTAGAAAAGGCAAAAGGCCAATAGTCCTGGGGTTTTACTCTTCATTATTTACTACAGCGACCTTAAAGTTGTTTGTAAAATAAACAAAAACCAGGAAAAGAAAAAAATCTAAAATGACTACTTCAGTTGCACTAAGCCATGTTTTTTACCTTAAAATACGTAATCAGGGTTCAAAATAAAATCAGCATTAAGTACTTCCAAGTTCTTTTGAAGAATCAATGGATTTGTCTGAAGACGCAAATCTGTACCTGCCTCCCCACGCCTTCCTCCCGCCCACTCCCCGAAGGCGTCACTTACACGGTAGGTGCCACCTCCTTGGAAGACGGCAAAGCCTTCCCCCTCATACAGTCCGCGGGCTTTTCCCCCTTCATAGCTACAGAGAAACCAAACTCAAGGTCACGACTGATGCGAACCCAAGCGAGGGCGGGTTAAGACACATTATTAACACGAATGAAGGGGCACCTCTGCCATTCGTTCACTCCGCGAACGCTCCCCGAGGGCCGCGGTGCACCTGCCCCCTCCTCGGTGCCGGGGCCAGAGCTGCGGCCTGGGAACAAGCCTGGGAAGCTCCTGCCGCCGCAGCTGTCAGTTCACCGAGGAGCGAGGGGCAATGACTGGGAAACGAACAAGCTAGCTTAACCCCAGATCGCGGTCAGTTTTGGTGAACACGCGACTGGAGAGGAAGGTGCTGTTCACGGACAGGCAGGGTGAAGGCCTCTCTGAGAACACGAGGGTTGAGAGCTCAAGGACCTGGAGCAAGCACCCAGGAGAAGAACCCTGGGGAGAGGACCCCAGGAAGGGGACAGCAAGGGCCAAGGCCCTGAGGCAGGAACGGGCCTGAGAGTGCAAGTTCAGAGAAAACAGAGAGGAGAGTAGCACCGCTGGGGCGAGGGGGAGAGCTCAGCAGGAGGAGCGGGGTGCGGTGAGTCAGGGCGTCCAACCTTTTGGCATCTCTGGGCCACACTGGAAGAAGGGTTGTCTTGGGCCACACATTAAATACACAGACTCTAATGAAAACTGATGAGGAAAAAGAAAGGTTTTAAGTAAATTTACGATTTTGTGTTGGGCCACGTCCTTAGCCATCCTGGGCCGCAGGTTGGACACCTCTGGCACTGTGGACCATATTTCATACTTTTTAATATCCTTCTATAGCGCTGAACTCAGAGCTGGAACACAGTAGCTCATTAATAAATGGCTGCTGATACCATTCAAACTACAAATCTTGACTGAGCCCCTACTAGGCCCGAGGTCTGGCGTTTGATATTCTGGGTGTATCTCTGCTATGAAGGAATTTTCAGCCAGGAAAAGAACTTCAGAGTATAAGTAAATTACAGTAATTCCTATAATAGAAAGTAATATATACTATGCATACGGTAATACATAAAAGAAAATGGTACGTATGATAAGACGTTTTGAGAAAAGTTACTTCCTACTGGGAAGGATGGAAAAGGTGGGGCCTTGAAGAGAGGGTAGGATTTGGCCACTCAGAAATAAGGGACAAGCATTCCAGGCAGGGCATCCTATGTAAGCAAAGACAAAAATGAACGGAATTGTGAGGGAAGAGTCTCGCTGGGCTCTCGTGTTTGGGAGAGGAGAGGCAGCCTGAGGTGTTTTATTCTGCAGACAATGGAAAGAAATTAAGAGTTGTTAAGAGAAGGGTGGTAGCCAGCTTCCAAACAGCTCCCAGTGGTTGTCACCTCTGTCATTTGTGCCCTCATGGGGTCCCCTCCCAGGCTCAATAAGGCTGGCCTGTGTGACCAATTAGGAGGCTGCAGAAATGACAGAGTGACATCTGAGACTAGGCCATAAGAGACACGGTGGCCTCCGCCCTCAACTCTCTCTCGAATGGGTCTCCGGGGAAGCCACCTGTCACGCCCTGAGGACGCTCATGCAGCCCTGCAGGGAGAGCCCACGTGACGAGGACACAAGGCAAGGCCTCCTGCCCACTGCGTGCTGGTGGGCCACTCTGAAAGCAGTGTCCAGCCTGCCTGCAGATGACAGGGACCCCAGGTGGCACCTTGATGGAACCTTGTGAGATCTGAGCCCAACCCCATCCAGCGAAGCTGCTCCCAGACTCCCGACCCCCATAAACGGTGAGGTGACAGGTTCTGATTGCCATGTGTTAAGGTGACTTACTACAAAGATAGGTAACTAATACAGGGAGTGACGTAAATGGGAAGGTGAATCTATTCAGGAGGCCTGAGAAGAGAGGCTAGAAGCAGAGACGCCTTTAGGAAGCAAGTCCAAGAGCACAGACAAGGGGTAATGGGTCCAGGCACAGAAGAAGGGAACAACGAGAGAAGCACAGAGGAACGAGAAATATGAAAGGCACACGAAGGAGGAGGACAGTTCTCCAACCTCGAGCCTGGATCTATAAGAGAACGGTGGCGCCCTGACGGACACAGGGACCCACGGAGAAGCCAGCATCTGGGAGAGGAACAGCCACATGCCGAGGAACCCTCTAAGGCGGGCATTCCCTCCTTTTCCCCAGTGAAGATCCCGAGGCTCAGAAAGGTTCGGGGCTGGGGGTGGGGGGTGGGGGTGCACGATGCCCAGAGCTGGCCCAGATCCAGCTCGTCCTAGTCCCAGTCCTGCGGTCTCTGCTTTTGGACACGGGGTACGAAGGCCAGCAGACGATGTACAGCAGGGACTTAAACATGAGAACCTAGAACTCTAGGGGAAAGGCCAGGGCTAACAACGCAGATTTTCATCGTCACCTAGGGGGACAGCAGGGGAAACTGCAGAGGTTCCCATGAGAGAGAACAGAGCATAAAAGCGGACGAAAAGGGGGCAGGGGCGAGACTGCCCAGAACGGTCACCTTTCAACGATGAGATCGGTGAGAATGGGCTCCTCATAGTGAGTGGCGTCTTTGTTTTGTCGAGGACAATTTCTGGACTCCCGTTTGGATCCCGGTTCGGGGAGCTGCGCTTCTGACAGCGGGACAGTACTTGGGGACATTTCTTGTCTAGCAGAATTGTCATCTGGTTTGGAAACCTCCGGATTATCAGAGAGAGATGAGGGAGAGCGGGCAGACTTATCCACTTTTTTGTCTGCTTTTTTCTTTTCTTTCACCATTTCCTTTAGGCGACCCGAAGTTTACTTTATGTACTGAAGTATCGACCAATTTCTTCAGCTGAGAGTTGTTTCAAAGCATTGATGAGTTTTATCTGAAAAAAAAACTGTCTCTAAATATTTCCCTTGAAATTAAAATTTTAGCTTTACAACCCAATGTCATTACCATTCTTCTAAAGCCTGAAAAATTACAAATAACAGGCATCACCAGTTTATAAAAATAAGTTTCCATAACACATTGGTTGTTGCTACAATCTTAAAATTGGAACCGCCATGTACCCTTTGTTTTCAAACTGTCCCAGCAAGCGGGGTAACGTGGTCTATGAAAAATGGCTACCTAACCTTCGAGGTCCTGCTACGGTCAGTCCGCCCTTCAAGAGCCCGTCTCCTGGTAGGTCAGCGCGGCAAAGCGCTCAAAGCTGGACTCCAGCTCCCGGGTCTGCTGGCTGGCGTGTGTTCTCCAGCAAGTTACTTCGTGTCCTTCTGCCTCGGATCCCAAATACGGACAATAGCACCTTGTTTCTTTATAAGGAGTAAATAAATTAATGCACAAAACATGTCTAATAGATGGGAGCGGGCACACGACAGGGAAGCTATTAATTTCCGTCGCTTTCCTGTTTTGGAACTTGGAATCATCAGCTGCGCATCGCCTAAGCCAGTACTGCCCTGGGCTGTGCGCCCCCGGTGCCAGCCAAGAGGCAGGGTGACCAGGCCTGAGCTGAGGGCTCAAAGCCACGGGCCCACGGCCACCTAAAACTGTCCCTGCTAAAGCCTCCAGGCCACCAAGCGGGAGCACAGGTGAGCCCTGCAGGGCCAGGCAACGGCCATCCTCTGGACGCCGGCGCCAGCCCCACCGCACCGCCAGGCTTTGCCCTTCCACCGTCCCGCCTCTCTCCTCCTCCAAATCCCCGCCCTTCTTCCCGCCGCCGCCGTCACTACTGCCTCCTGGGCGGGCAAGCTGCTCTCACTTCTGAACTCGGGCAGGTCTTTACTATAGGCTTTCGGTCCCGGATCGGCGAAATCTAAACTACAAGGCAAACTTCCTTTCTGGTGGCTGCTCCCCTGAGTTTTCGCTTTATCTGTCCTTCCCGGCTGCACACCGTGCTCTCCTGTGTCCTCTTTCCTGGGACAGCACGAAAGGAGCGCGGTTTCGGACCGGGGCCGGGGGGTGCTGTTCCGCACTTCCTGCCCCCAGCCTCCTCGCCCACCACAGACCTCTCGGGTCCTCGGAGGCGGTCCGCTTGGCATCCGCGGGCCTGGGGCCCGGGATCCCCGCGCCCGGCGCTTACCTGGTTGCCTCCAGGCTCCCCTCCGCCCGCCCCAACCAGGCGAAGCGTCTGGACCTCCAGTCTCCAGGCAACCGCGGCCCCGCCCAGCCCTTAAAGGGGCCGCGCTGTCCCAGAAGCTCTGAGCATTAGTGTTTTCTGCCCTTCAGCCCTAGGCGGCCAGGTCGAAATCTGGGGCTGGACGCACTTGGCCTGGGTTTTCCCTGTGGCACTACTTGCCGCGCGACCTCTCTCACCCTTCATCTTCACTGTAACACAGGAAGAATGAACTCAGGTGTTAGTTTTCCTTTGCACTGTACACAAATTACCCAAACTTGCGCAGTGGCTTAAAGCAACACGAATCTATCATTTTATGGTTAAGTTAGGAACCGAAAAGGGCCGGTTCCTTCTGCCTGCTCCAGGGGAGAATCTGTTTTCCAGCTTCTAGAGGCTGCCCTTTGGCATCTTCCAGATGTGGTGCACTTCCCTGGCCCAGCTGGGCCAGGTTCCCTAGTTGAAGTCAAGGGACAGATTGGGCCCACCCAGCCAGGCCAGGATGTCCCCCATTTCTCAGCCCATTCCTTGCCCACACAAGTCAAGGGTTGTGGGATTATCACAGAGCCATCTTTGGGGCCAGAAAACCCAAGCTGCAGAGATCTTGAAACTCTTCCACGAGAGCCTGCAGACAGGCACACAAGCACCGTACTTGACACAGTAAATGGGAATAATTACTACTTGACTGTCTTGCCACAGGTAAACCCTAAGTCTGCCAACGGAAGGAGGCCCGCGGTCCGGTCAGGGACGGGGAGCAGGAGACGGCCCACACCGGCCGCTGCACACCAGCCACTGCCCGGACTCCACAGGCGGCGTCTTCGGCAAAGTCCAGGTGGGACGAGGTTCCATGAGAAACTATTTGATACAACAGGGGTTCTTCTACCTCCAGTACCACTCAGAGCCAGAACTAGAATATCTTGCAACTCGCACCCCAAGGAATCCACATCACAGCATGAAGTGACAGACAATTCCAGACCTTTTATTGCCCCTTGCCTGCAACAGTGCCTTCCTGCCCTGGCCACATGGGGGAACTTCTAAAACTCGTGGCCCCAGCGGGGCTGTCCTTACCCAGCCAGCAGAGAATCCCCACTAGGTTTTCCAGACTATTCCTTTTCTAAAAAAAATTTAATGTGCACGAGGGTTGAGGACCACTAATGCAACAGGACCATTAATTTATGAAATTAAACCATTACAAATTTAATCATCTCAAAGGGCTCAAAGTTGCAGCCTAAAATACACTGGGCCAGAGCAGGGGCGTGGGTGACTCTGAAAGTGCTCTTCCTGGTTTTAAAAAACGTGCTCTTGCCCACACGCACGCGCGCGCGCACACGCAGAACGCAGTACACTGCAGCCATGCTCCACGTGGTTGAAAAGGTTCTCAACATCATTTCTAAATGGCTACGGCACTTAACGGTTAAAACCCCGCCTTTCAAAACGGGAAAGTCGGCAATGAACTGTCTAACTCTATACGATGAGAAGTGTCAGTTTTGAGAAATGACATCCAGGTTAGCGATGTGTCTCATGGTCGGCCTGCCGTGGGGACAGTTCCAGGGATGGTCCATCTCACCCATGTGGGTGATGAGTTTCTTCATCTCACTTGTGTTTAGAGCAGTTCCGATCATCACCTGAATGTGAGACACAACAGTTTAAGTTGTACTGGGTTTTGGTTAGGACAACTATTCAGTCGTATTTTTCTCTAAAACAAGGCTGGAAAAAGATTACAACTCGAAGACATTCCCTGAAAAATCTTCCCCCAAAGGACCCTGCCTTCTACTGTCTCAGCCTCCACCCTTCTGTGCAATCCAGCCCCTCCGTGGCTCCTTCCCCTGTACGGAGACGCTGACCACTCCCGTCCCGAATCCGACCAGTCTCTTCTGCATCAGCAGGGCCTCGGTATCGGTGCCCTCACCTGCCACCTGGGCAACTGCAGGGACCTCCTCACGGCCGCCCTGCTTCCCCCTTCACCTCGCCCACTGACTCCACTCCGCAGCCAGTGATTCCTTTGGAAGGTACCTCAGATCGTGGGCTTCTCTGCACAACCCTCCCCCTCCCCTGAATGAAAGCCCAAGTGCACCGCCGGCCGCCCTCGCGGGCCTCCACGCCTGCCCCTGCAGGCGCACAACCCTCCCTGCCACTGCTCCAGCCACACTGACACCACCTCTCCCCTCTGGCACAGAAACGTAAAGCACCTGCCTCAGGACCTTGGTACTGGCTGGGCCCCCACCAGAGCCCCTCCTGCAGTGCCTGCGCGCCTCACTCCTCTCCCTTCGGGCTTCCGCCCTAACGTCCCCGCCCCTCACCATGAAACAGTTCGCCTTGCCTATCCCTCTGCCACCCCCGCCCTGCCGCCCCTCCAGGCACGCATGCCTGCCTGACAGATACAGGGAGACGAGACACAGCGGGGCAAGCCCAGAGAGACGAGGCGCGGTGGCGAGAGGGGACAAGCCCGAACCTGGCGCACTCCTAGGGGGCATGGAGCAGGGCTCTGCCACGTTGGAGGAAGACAGACAACAGGCAAGTGAGCAGAAACAAATGTCACCGAGAGGGACTGTGCCTGAGTGCCCAGAAGAAGCCACTTCAGTCGAGTGCCCAGTGCCCGGGACAGGCAGGAGCCAGGGACGTGACAAAGGGACACAAGGCAGGAAATCCAGGCAGAGGGATGGGCAAACGCAGCAGGCACAATATTAGTCTTCACCAGAGTTCTCTGTGGCTGGCAGATCCTGGGCCCTATTCTCTGCTCTAATTAAACTCTTCCCTCGAGTCTAATTAGAGCAGAGATCTAATCCCCATGGCTGTAAGGCACACTTAAAATTGCCTCTCCAGCACTGACATTTCCCTTGAGCTTCACTCATTAATACAACTGTTGTAGACACTCCCACGCACGAGCTAACGGAATCCCACATAGAAGGGGTCTAAAACTCACCTCGATCCCACCCACCCCCCAAATGTACAAAAGCGCTGCTTTCCTCACCTCCTGTATTTCTGCCAGGCACCCCCTACAGTCGGTTCTCAGCCAGGACGGCCCTCTAGGCCCCGCCCCCCCAGTGGGATAGGGAGGGTGCTTTTTTGTGCACAAAAAAGCACCCTCCCTATCCCAGTACCACTGTGAGCTCTCCATTGAACTTACTGGTGTCTGAAACTGTCAACTTGTTTACGTCTATTTCTCCTCACTAACCTATGGGGCAGGGACCTCATCTGCCTTGTCCCTGTGTGTCCCCAGCAGCTGGCACAGGGGGGCCGCCCAGCAGAGGCTCGAGGAATATCTGTTGAATAAGTGACGGAAGGAATGGCGTCCTGGCCCTTCTTACAGGCCAGGCGATGAAGGGTCACTTCCTTTGCCTGGACAGCAGGCTCACTGTCCACCACAACCCCACTTCCCAGGACCACTCAGAGCAGGGGTGACCGTATCTTGCCATGTGTGATGCGCACATTTACTTTTTGCCAGAATTTTTGAGGGAAAAATAAGAATGTGCATTATACATGGATAATACTAATTCCATATCTATATAAATGTTTTAATTCTTTTACTTAAGCTTATGCACTAAAAGGGTAACTCTAGAAAGCAATAATGATATCCATGTGCAAAATAATACCCTGGAATATGATAATCGGTTTGGTTTCTAAATATAAATAAATAAATAATTGAATTAAATTTAGAAGATAGATTTTTTTCCCCTGAAAGTTTGGGCCAAAACCTTGGGTGCACATTATACACAGCAAAACACAGTGATGTGCAGTGCTCCACGGGGCCCTTGGGAAATGCCTGCCGACCCGAAGGACCCGAAGGGCTCGGTGGGAGCCAGGGCGGCACAAAGCTTCGTCTACCAACGGTGTTAATACCCTTAAGGTGCTACAGCGTGCGTGGCTAGTTAGCTGCACTGGGATCAGCGAAACTGAGAGAGATCACGCTTATGGGAAGCACAGAAAAGCAGCAGTTGCGGGTTAGAGGTCACAGATGATGCCAACCCGCGGAGCTGGTCTGTCACACGGACAGAGCGCGATGAGCCTCCGTCTACACGGTGAACCACCGCGGTCCCAGCCGAACTGGGGACTTCGGGGACCACAAGCGTGAGCAGGGCCTCTGGGTCCTGGCGGACAAGCCTTCCTTACTTACAGACTTTCGACAGGCTCTGGAGGCAAACATCTGCCTGACGCGGGACGGCCGGCACATGACCCCTGGGCTGTCGCTCAGCATGAAGATCAGTTCATCTATGTCCTGGGGCCCAAAGGTCCAGTTCTTACTAGTTGGCAAGGAAATCAGTTTAGCCCTTTCCGTGACTGGAGCTAAAAGGATAGAATTTGGAGAAAGTTATTATTTGGAAAATGTGTTTCATTTGAGTGCTCCCTGTAACACACTTGGAAACGCAGGTAACCATCGTCACCTCTCATAAAATACATGGATCTACGTGACCTCAGAGACTGTCCCCAGCTCTAAAAGGACACAATTCTATCATTCTTCACAGTAACTCACCACTTTCATCGATGACAAAATCAAAGCCGTTCTTTCTGAATATTTCCAGATTTTCTAACAGGACAGCTTCGTTAGCTGCAGTTAAGTTGAGAGTCTGGGGCCTGAAAAACAAAGGCGCGATTGCAGCCATATCTGGAAGCCCAACATTCACCGATGAAGCGGAAATGAAACTGAAACAAGTCTATGAGTCCTCGGAGTCGTTTCAAAAAGCAACATGAAGAACATCACTTTATTGAGCTACATGCCCTTCCCGTCACAAAACTTCCTGAGGAATTTCCTTGCAATTTTCCTGTTTCAAAAGGTCATTTCAGAAGTTCAAGTATAAAAAGTAGTTTGCTTCTCCTTAGCCTGCCATCTCACCCCAGTCTGTTTTGGAATCGTCTCCTGAAATATGGCAATACACATTGTCCTTCATCCGAAGGGCTTTGTGGCCAGCAAGGGATCCCCATTCACGGACAGCTGGAGCGGGGTGATACTTACCAAGGACACAGTCATGTTATTTAACCTGTCTGTGCACTTCAGTTTTCTCACCAGTGAAATGCTGGTGGTAACAGCAATTACCTCATAGGCTTGGGAGAATAAACCAATACATGTACAATGCTTCAGCAGCGCCTGGCACACGATAAGCACTCAGTAAATGGCAGGTATGACTGCTATTATGTAAGAAGTACATGAATCTGCTATCGGGATGCTTACGGCAAAAATATATACACACACATCAACATGCAGACACACACATAGGCCACGACATCTTAAACCGGGGAGGGGAAGCAACACCGCAAGGCCCGAGGGCCGCAGCGGACCTACACGAGCAGCCTCTGGCCCTGGAGGACGGTGTGCTGCCGCAGCATCTCGAAGTGGTACTTCTCGTCCGTGGCGTGCTGGTCCACGATGAACACGTCCGCGTCCAGCTTGGTGACGATGAAGCCCAGGTTGAACTGCCCAATGATTTCCATCTCTGCAAACATCGTCTTACTGCATGAGAAAAATGAGGGCTGTGAGGCATTTTAGAGACTATTTTTCAATGAAAAAATTCAAGAACCACGGTAACAGGGGAGCGATAAATGTTCGTTAAATTGAATCACACTTCTGGTTTTGGAGTCGCAGTTATTGTTACTCTGAGGACGGAAAGAATCTGAAGGCAGAGGACAGGCGCTGACCCTCAGGGCGCCTGACGCGCACCCCCCCGCCCAGGCGCCCACCGACCTTGACCAGCGCACGTGCCTGCACCCGGAGGGCCCGGCTCTCTTCAGGGCATCCAAGTTCGCAGTCCCCCCAGGTCACGTCCAAAGACGTTCACCTCCAGTAATCACACTTCTTAAAGGAAATATTCCTGAAGACTTCTCTCAGTGCAAGCTAGGCACTGCGAATATCAAAGGAATTACACCATAGAAAACTCATTGTGGAAGGATTTATCATCTAAATTAGGCAAAACCTGTGTGGTCCAGACTGTAAGTGCTGTGAAGTCCGATGTGATCGCCAAGCGGCACTATTTACGTGGCAGCCCATTTCAGTAAATGGTGAGAAAAATTTAAAAAGATAGAAGCTAGGACTTCCAAAATTCAACCTCTTAAGTTGCACAGGATTACTGACAAAAAAGGGGGCAATGTTTTCTACTGTCTGTATTATTTTTTTTAAATTGACTCCTTTTACTTAGGCTTATCCTATCCAACCTTCTTGAAGTCACAGGTTTGACAATGTGTTCTACTTCTTCCTTATATACATTCAAATGGAAAACAACAATGTCCACCAAAAGTGCCGTGAATTCCTTGCAGGGAAGTCACTGTGAGCTGAAAAGCTTGAGGAAGAACAAAACAGGAATCGAGAAGGCACCGACTGACTGGGACTGACTGAAAGGGTAAAGGATGTGCAAAGGGGGTCAGGGAAAAACCCATGCAGTGTCAGGCCGCAGCAAAAGATGTCTTTACAGCAAGTTACCGAGATGGATGCGAGAGGTGATGAAGGGAAGCTGGTAAAGGGGAGCTTGCCAGGGACGCCCCGGTACAGATAACGGCCAATGTGTGGAATCAAACTGACTCCAAATTTAGAATCTTCGAGAGAGAGGAACAAAGGGGGAAAGGGGAGAAGGGGGAAACTGCTGCAAGTCGGACGTTCTGAGATACAGATCAGTCTGTGGTGCAGGCAAGACCCGGGGAAGCCACGCAGACTGGCAGCAGGAGCCAGAGGACCGTGTGCTGGTGCAAGGCAGAGCCACATATGCCCTGACCCGGAAGAGATGCCACCGATGCAAAGGAAACGACACCCAGGGGAGAAAAAGCAGCTCTGGAAGGATGGGCCTTTGGCTCCCTCGCAGCAGCTCCCCCAAACGCGCAAAAGCACTCTCGGGAAAGCCTTTACCTTATCTCTTTCCTTAGTTCCTCTTCCGCTGCTTGATTTTCTCCAGGGCAAATCTTTGCCCTGAACCTCCTGTAATTCTGTTGCCCTCCTCTGTGCTGCTCTTGCTGATGTAACTGCTTTAGGCGTTGAACCAAAGAACTCATAGAAAACTCAAGGGGCACTATTTTCTTATTAATTTTCACAGCTACGTCCACCTGAGACGCTGACACGTTCTGTGTGCTGATGGACTTTTGAGGGATGTCTGGATTTAAAGGAATTCCTTCTTTTTTAAAACGCTTGGTGTTTGAGAGGTTTGTTGGCTGAGGCAACTCTCTCAATTTATATCCACTATCTTCCTGGTCTCGATGGCATTCCGTGTCTGAAAAACGACGCTCCATTTCAGGTACCCTCTCCCGCGACTCCATGTTTTCTTGTGAAAACCTGTCTTCAGGGGAGCTGGCTGCTCGGTCGCTGCTGGAGAGACTGCCCACGTCTGGGGTGCTGAGCCCCTGCTCTGAGCCCGCGGAGGTGCTACCGCACCCCGAGTCCCGCTCCACCTCCACTCTGTCCGCATCTGAGCACATTGCCCCTCCTGGAGGGCTGCGCCGGCCTGTGCCCGGGCTGGGCGTCTGGGGGCAAAGGGAGTCTGAAGGCCTTGAAGACCGTGCACCTCTCTTCTGTCTCGGAGAAATCCGATTGGGTTCTGCATTCGGCAGGCCCTGGGGCCGGTTCTCTGCTGGGTGACGAAGAGAAAAGGCCTCCCTCAGTCTGGAAATGGTCACTGCCCTTTTCTCTTCTCCTCGCGTCCTTACTGAAGCGCGGTTCCCCCGCTCGCCCAGCAGAGGCTCTTCCCTTTCTGCCGGAGGCGTTTTTAGTAGGTGACCTAAGCAGATGTGAACAGAGGAGATGTGAACAGAGGAGCGGGTCAGGGCTGCACTGAAATGGAACGAGAAGATACTCGCACGTGAACGGCCCATCACAAATGAGACCCAAGGTGATAAAACCTGTGAAAACTGTTGTGCGTTCATCATACCGGGACACATATTAAAACTCAAGTCAGGCTGCTCGAGGCTCACCAGGATGGACAGAATTTTAGAAACAACAAATGTTCACAAGGAGGAGGAGTGTACTGTACCAGTGCTTCAACACGGCCGGTGGTAGTTTGGTTTGTTCCCTGCTCCGGGAGTACCCCCCAATCTGAACAGAAGCACGCCTGCGGGCCAGCACCACCTCGCCTGTCCGAAAGGCCCCCCACCACGCTCGCCAAAGCCACGGACGGGAATGCCCAAGACAACCTGGTGCATTACAGCCCCACGCCGGAAACAACCCCACTGTCCGCAAATAAATCGCAGTATTTAATTACAATGCAGTATGATAGAGCAGTGAGAATGGATGAATGAACTGCCGCATATGCCTTGGAGGACTCCCACAACAGAATACTGAAAGAAACAAATCACCCAAAAATGTACACACTGATGGTTTCAAATTAAAAACAGATCCAACGACTCCATGGTGTTAGACGCCAGGGAAATGGCGACCACTGGTCTATGGAAAGGGGTGCAGGGGCGGTTCTGTGGGCGCTGGTTCCAGACCTCGGGGAGGACACGGGTGTAAGCCATGAACTTCTGATGCCTGTTTCTGTGAAAATGCGGCTCCTCAGGAACAGGGCTAAGCCAAGGGCAGGGACTTAGCTGTGCTTCAAGGTCGCAGAGAAGTCAAGCAGCTTCTCTCTGCGGGGCGGTCTCCCTGGCAGTGCGCGTGGGCGAGCTCAGAGAGCCACCGCGGCCCCGCTGCCCACAGAGGGGTGCACTCCCCTCCCCTTACACGTCCTCGACACCCCACGCGGAGAAGGGCTGGGAAGGACGTGGGGCCGCCACGGCGGGTCAACAGGTCTGCTGCGCTGACGTCCGCGCTTCTGGGCTCCTCTCTGTCGCACCCTGGGAGGCAAGCTGCTCTGCCTCCGCCCCTCCCCTCCCCCCAACTATGACTCCCGGTCCCCTCAGTTTGCAAAGCCTCGTCCCACAGCAACCTCCTCTCGCGGGGAGCAACGCTTATCTGTCCCCCTAGCTTTCCACCGAACCCCCCGTTTCAGCTTCCTCAGCAGCGCTCTGGTCTCCGCCCTGGTCCAAGGACGCAGTGATGGGCACCCGCCGCCGCCGTCCCTACACACGCAGACATGGAGGCTGGCAGGAGGCTGCCTTAAAACCAGCATCCACCCCCAGGAGCGGATCTGCCCGCCAGAGCACGTAATGGCCAACCCTTCCCTCTGCCAAGGCAGGCAGCCAGGGCTCAGCTCTGGCCCCTGTCCCAGGTGTACGTGGTTTGAATGACTAAGAATAAAATGAACTACTTCAAGAAGTGGCTGATAAATTACGATCGGGTAGTAAAATAATGACGTGCCCATTACCACAGATGTCAGATCGGCTCTGGGACGTGAGGGAACACGGCAGCGGGAGGGCCTCCAGAAACTCCCTCCTCCCCAAAAGGAATGAGAAAATGGGCAAAAATTGTCAAAATCCACCTTCTCAGAGCTCTGGAAATGAAAAGGTGGTCGAGTCCTGGTAAAGACACATCCCTTGTGTAGTAAATGTTGTCGTCTGTGTTCTTTTTAAACAGATCACTTTCTAGTGAGACACATCCTTTCTATCTGGGAAAGGAGACTTTATTTCATGTCCAAACAACAAAGGAAAGTATCACAAAAGCTATGTTATAGAAGCTGTTTCTATACTCATAGCTTTTTACCTTCAACATCCAGCAGGGGCTGCTGACTGATGCTGAGTTTGCTGACATCGCTGTCGAACATCCCTATCAGAGACGTCTTCAACACTGCCAACAAAAGTTTCTCCTCCTGTAGTAAAATTTGCCTTTTATCCGGAGTAACGTTGATATCAACACATTCTAGGGCAAAAAAGAAAGGATGCTTACTCTGTTTAAATTAACTGTTAACAACAGAAATGTTCCCACCTACTATGTTATTCACTTGCACTGACCAAAAGTACTATTAAAAACATTATAGTGTCCAAATTATTAGTCATAAACTACAAAAATCCATCCTTTCCAGTAAACAAGGAAGAGATGAACAGTATTTTAAATAGACAAAATATGCAAGGATTTGAATGGGTAACTTGCAAAAGAAAAAGAGTAAACACATGAAAATGTGTATCAGAACTGCAAACTACAGTAAGATGTCACTTTATCACCTATTGAATTTAGTTAAAAATCCTAATATCTAGTACATTGTTGGTAGACGTGTAAATTGATACACTACAATCATATCTACTAATGTAGTGTTTTTAATTTCAGATATTTATCTTAAGGAAATAATCAGATATATAGACAATGATTTAATTATAAAGACAGTATTTAAATTTCCAAAAACTTAAATAAGTTTAAAATTAAAATAGATCTATATGTTGGAATATAATGAATGCAGCTATTGAAATCATGTCTCTGAATAATTTTTAATGACATGGAAAAGGAAATGTTCATATCTAAGGATAAAAATTACTAGACAAAATTACACAAATTAACTTTCCTACCCCAAAGGGTAGACAGATAGATCATTATATATTTTTTAAGATATGCACATACGTATTTCTAAGTACCTAGAAACAATATTGAATAGCAATAAGCCAGAATTTTAACAATAAGAATAAAAATATGAAATAAATTATTTTCAAATCAGGGAGAACACAGTCCACATTCTCCCTTGGTTGACATGAAAAAGTGACATTTTTCTAATAATACGATTAACATAGTGTCAAGAAAGCAAGCAAGAAAATCTGTATAGGAAACAAAAGTCTATAAAATAAAATTGAAAGTCTATTAAAAAAATACATGGCCATTAATTCTGGCTACAAGAGTCTGTTTCCAGTCATATCAGAGCTTTATAATTTCACTGCATTCTTTTGAGTAAATCCACGATTTTAACTGAAATGTTAGTGGAACTTACCTGAATCCACAGAAATGTTAAGAACAACAAATGGGTATTGATGTCGATTATACATGTGATAGACCTCATTCACGAGTCTGGAAACCTACAAATAAAAGATTAGAAAAGAAAAAGCATTCCCTTCCTCCAGGTTTCTATCAACATGGTATTCTAACCAACCACTGAAGGCATACATTTTCCATAGCTTTCATAAGGTATAATTGGCCTGCAATCAATTACACATATTGGAAATGTACAATCTGAGTACTGTCTGGTGTGCCTCAATGATTCAGCACTGGCCTGTGGACTGAAAGGTCGCCGGTTGAATTCTCACTCAGGGCACAGACCTGGGTTGCAGGCCAGATCCCCAGCTGGGAGAGAGCAAGAGGCAACTAATAATGTTTCTCTCCCTCTCTTTCTTCTCTCCCCACCCCCTAAAATTAAATAAATAAATATTAAAGTGTATAATTTCATAAATTTACAATCAAGAGAATGCATATATCCATCACCCAGAAAAGATTCCTTGTGCCCCTCCATCATAGATTTCTAAGAGTGAATCTTTTTCCAATCTAAAGATGCTCTTGAAGAAATGCCAAACAATGCAGGTGCAGTTTAATACACATAAAACACATTTAAATGTACACAGAAATGTATGTATATGACTTTAAAAACAAAAAGAAATTTAAATACCTTTGCTGGGTCACAAGGCCGCCAATTGATAAAGAAAAATTGTCTGTCCGTTGAACTCCGTCCGACACCATGAGTACAGTAGGAAATGAAACCTGAGATACTATGCAGTGTTAACAAGGGCCCAGAGTGAGAACGATTAGAAACACGTATACATGAAACATTCTTAAAGTAAGAAAGAAATAAAAACATAACACCTGGTGGTCTGCTGCTAGGTGCTAACATTTCAGTTCATGTGCATTTGTGCTCTATGCTGCTAAACCATAAAATGAACACACACCTTCTGGAAAGTTCTAAAGCTCCCACAGAGCAAATCCACTATAGGCAATGCCACAGGTTCAACACTATTTGCTTTAGCTCTCCTCTCACCTTCCCTATTAAATCCTTGGCCTCCATGCAAGAAGGCAAATTCATATTCTAGAACCTTCATGCTGTCCCCAACGGTCCAGGGAATCCCCAACAACTTGTCACCAGGATCTCTGTCCACGTTCCCCGCCCTTTTAAAATCCTTTCCGTTAGTAAACTTCTGTCTACTTCTGTCTGCCAAGGTGCTTGTCAGGTGCTGAGATCAACCTCAGGGACATGAGCATTTCCATAAGCATGAGGCCTTAACATAAAGAAACAGTCCCCGCCTTTAATTCCAGCCAGGAGCCCAACCCCCATAGGGCAGGGGGTGGGGAGGGAGCGGGGATGCGGACCTCACAGGCCCAGTCCTGCGTATGGGAAAGGCCTGTTTTTCTTACGCTGACAGTAAGGACGCTGGACTGGACTTGGGTGAAGCATGAACTGAAGCAAACACAGCCTCTCTTGCTCTCTGCCAGAGCCCAGTGAAGTGAAACATTAAACGTAAAATAATTTTTTAAAGTTGTTCTAATTGTTCACTAAACACAACCTTTGCTACAAAGACTAATTCAAACAGAAAACCCCCCAGAGTGCACCAGTTACCCAGAATATTGTTTGAACTAAGTGAATCCTCTTTCTCAGCAGTAATACTGCTTACAGGTTTACAACAGACAAAAAAAAAAAAAAAGCCTTGATATCACTATCTCTTTAAGTCAAAAAACTCAAGAAAAATCATATCTGTCATTCTCCTGGCAGCTGTTTACTCACCGAAACAGACTGTGCAGAGCATCGGAGTGGCTCAGGCCGAACTCCTCGCAGACCACGTCACTAGGGGGCAGCTGAGTGAAGGGAATGAGGCTCTGCAGCTGGAGGAACCAAGGTCCCCAGTTACTTCCCAGCGCAGAGAAGGACCGAACTTTAGGAGGCAAGACACAAGGGGTTTTGGGTTTTCTTTCCTAGTCAACTAACCACAGTGAGAGCACAAAGGATCTCGACCGCTGCTTCTGTGGAACTTAAATAACTGATTTTTCTCTAGAAAGATAAACACATAGCACCTACTTCTCCATAATCAATATATTGCCTACAACATTTTACATTTTTTCAGAGAGGAAAGGTATTATTTTATTCTCTATGGGAGTAAAATAAAAACTTTCAGAACTCAATATTAATTTTTTAAGCGATATCTAATTTAAAAAAAAAAAATCAATTCTTGGGTTTTCCTCTCCGTTCTATAGGAAAAGCCAATAGAAACCCGCCATAATCACTGAAGCAGTAAGATATGCTTAGATAACTGGCCGCCATTACCTGTTTCTGCCCGAACACGGATCCAATGTTGTCCCTTACGCTGGGGCTTCCGCTTGTGCCCACCACAGGCTGTCGTCTTCCTTGTCCCACCTGATTGGTGCAACTGAGGCGGATGCCCGTGGGAATGATACAGTACGCATGGAGGACATGGACCATTTTGGCAAACTCCTGTTTAAGAAGCACAGGCGTCAGACTTCACCAGAGGAGAGGTGGGGAGTAAAGCTCCCTAGCAGCCCCGCTGCCACGCGTGCCCAGTACAGCCCCGATGCCGCCGTGAGCTGGGGTCCTGAACTGAATGCACCTTTTTAATATTCCTCTGAAACTCCTTATGGCGCACAGGCAGCGTGTAAAACAGCTGCTGGACACTGACTGTTGTCCCTCTGGGCCGTGGGTACGGGGTTTTCTGGACGATTTTCCCATTGTGATCAAACACCAGCCGAGTCCCAACCTTTGCCGATGAGTGGCAGGTGGAAACAGTGAGGTCACTGGAAGAGAACGTGGCGACAGTCAGTCAGAGGCTCCCGAGTGCGGGACGTCACCTGCTCACTTTCGCATTTCTCTTCCCTCCAGACACTCGGAAGAGATGAGGATCCTGCTGAGATAATCAAGAGCTTAAGTGGGTGAGGAGTCATCCTAAAAGCTAAGGTTTGGCACCTAATAGACAGTGAGACAGAGAGTTCTGTCAATGTTTTGATAAAAGCTTTGATATATATATTTTTTTGGTTGAACTGCAAAACAATAAAAGAGTTCAAAACATATATTCACAAATAAAAATTTATTTCTCAGTTTTGTTACTAGTGTTCTGACAAAAATTTTTAAAAGGATCCAAAAGATATTATAATTCAAATGTATGTAATTATTTATAAAAATTTAGAATGTGTGACTAAGTGAATGCGTGTTAATTTTTTCATAAATGAAATAAAAAACCAGTAGCATCTATAATTTATTATCTATGTTATTTTAAAATTTAGAAGGCACTGCTTTAACAGGGTAACAATTTTATTAAACTACTATTTGCTCCATTTCATTCATTCATTGCTTACATTTCAGAGGTATTCCCACTTAGACTGGTAGTAAGCTAACACAGAATGCAGAAGTGAGAACAATGAGATGGAAAGGTGTAAACAATATTTTAGTTTTCAGAGAAATTTTTTACAAGGAGTCAAGTTAATGAATAAGAACATTGCATCACCTCAGTGCACAAAGTGAGCTCAGCGCTTCCCCCCGAAAGCCGAAAGTTTCAACCTGAGTCAGGTCAGCAAACTCTTGAATCTTAGAAGTGTGATGTTTCAGAGCTGAAAGAGAGGTGTCAAGTGAGGCCCAAGGCAGCTCAAGCGGCACAGCAATGAACAGACGCAATGCCTCCCGAAGGAGCTGGGTCTGAAAAGCTGTGTTTGTGTTTACTCAAAATTTTGAAATATTTTGCCCAAATATGTAACAACACGGTTGGAAAAATTCAACTTACTTAAGCCTTCAAAGTTTTCTTCTTCTACCCCACAGCCATTGTCAGAAACTTCAATGAGATCCACCCCATAGTCTTTAAGCCTTAGATCTAAAAAGGTTAAAATAGTTACTTCTCAAAGAAGTGATCCAAGTAAAAACTTTATATTGACAGTATTTATAATTTACATAATGCAAATTTGAGTCATAATTGTATGTATTTAAATGTGCTATTGTCATCTTCTGTATTTTATTTTTTTAAAGTCTTTCTTGACTATTTACTTGCCCTAATAAAAGGTGTTGTTTTTTTAAATTTTCCTCCTCTTTGTTTTTTTAAAAAGGATAATTTAACATACTCAATAAAGAGAACAGGCTCGGGAATCAGACTTCCTGGGGTCATATTTTACTAGCTTTGAGGTAAAATTCTCTGTGCTTTAACTTCTTCATTTGTAAAATAAAGATAACAATAATAATAGTAATAATTCCTATCTCATAAGGCTTTTCTGCAGATTAAATACAGTATGCCATCAACAGTTCTTTGCATAGTGTCTGCCTAGCACATAGTAAAACACGATAAAAATCAACTGTTATCATTATTACTATCTTGTTAAGTACTAGGCACATAGAAATTTATCTTATTAACTAAAAATTAATAGTTAATTTTATTGAATTTATTGGGTATTCACTAAATTAATAACTAATTTTAATAGCTAAATTTAAATTAAAAATAATCATTTCTCACCACAAAACTTGAGCATCTTATCACAGTAACAAACGTTACTTGAATAAAATAGCATAAACTGACTATTTCCTGTGGCTTAAGTCTCCAGACTCACCTATATTAGTGGCACCAGCATCCACACTATTTTCTACCAACTCCTTCACAGCAGAGCTTAGACTTAGTACCACTTGCCCAGAACAAATCTGATGAATCGACCTCTGATCGATAGGTCTGATGGCCTTAGCAAGTCCTGTGCTGAAGAAACCAGTAACAAGAAACAAAGCAAGTATGTATTTATATATTTGTCATCCTGATTTTAACTGTACGAAGTGACTAGTTTTTGTTAATAGTTAATGGCCTAACTTGTTCATTGGTTATATAAACATATGCATTCATTATAGTCATAAATATTAAATGTTGTTCTGTAATTCTTAAACATTTGTCAAAAAAAACCTTCTGAGTAGATACTTTGAATGCAATAGATATTTTAAAAACTAATTATACTGGGACCTACATAGAAGATACACATGTATCCCTCAAACTATGGGTCCATTACCTTTTGCAACAATGAGATCTTTCTTCATGAAAAACCAAAGCACCATTTCTCACACACTTTGAAGAACCAAGAGTATGGTGGGGGATACATGGTGCTCGTGTCAAAATCAAAACCACCTTGGAAATTAGACGCCGGTTGTAAAACTATCCCAATAGTTGCCTTTGAATCCCCACTCCAAATCCAAGCTGCCAGAGCTGCCTTGGCCAAGGCCCCTAAAGTTCTGGCTGCACCCACTTTCTGAGTTTTCGAGCCCATTGGTCTCCGCTTCCTCCTCCAATCCATCCTCCACGCCACCACTATACTTTAGAAGCACCGATCTGGCCGGATACGTTTTTCCTTCTGAAAAACTTAGTGGCGTCCCTCTGTCTGCTATATGAAGTTTAACACCGAGTCATAACTGGGTCCAGTCTACTTCATTTTCTCATTCTTTCCAATCCTCCCTTCGACAAGTCCCCTACATTGCAGTCACAGCAAACCGTTTCCTGAATATCGCAAGTTCTTTCAGACAATGCTCCCCTCTATTAGGTCTCTCTGTCTACACCTCTCCCCCCACTCTCTCCTGTCTGGCAAAACTCCTGCTCATCTCAAGAATGCATTCTATATGGCCGTTAACTTAGACGTTTCTAGTAAACGCCTTGATACCTTCCGTGCAATAGAACACAGGAGCCATAGGCTACAGGTCCGTTTCTGATCATTTATTTTGAAGGGAGGGGATAAAACACTTAAACACAGCGACCTGGGCTCAGTATTCTGACACTGAATGCACAAAACCAGCCGAAGATTCGCTACCCCGAATTCGGTGTAGCTTACCGGCCAGTAATTGCACTCTCAAGGAGGCAGAGAAGTTCTGCATTTTTTAAACTGCGGCAATGCAAATTAGCATGTACCTTGAAGCATCCCCACAATAACCACTTTCTTTCCTCCAGAAAGAGGAAAAACCAGGAAAAAGGAAAATGAATTCAAGTCTACTGGGATTTCATGCCCGGCCTCAGGTTCAGGGACGTACGGCGACGTCTGGCCTCAGCCCGCGTGGGCGCGGGCCGATGCTCCGCCGACCCGACCTCAAAGTGCTTCTGAAGAGGCGGCGGAGCGCTTAAGAGCCCGCTCCGGGGCCTGCGCGCCGCGGGCTCGCCAAACGCCAGTCATTTCCCTCTCCTTTGCAGAAGTGGGGAACGCCGTGCGCCTTAGAAAGGGCGTCCGCGAGGGGAGGCTGCAAACACCGCTCACCTCAGCCCCTCGTCTTGTTCCATGGATGCAGAGCTGCTCCTACCTCCGAACTCGCGACTGTTCCTGCCAGCGCTCTAACGGGTTCCCCGCCTCCGAGCCGCCCATTGGCTGCCTCTGAAACTGTGCCCCTCCCCTTCCGCACGAGGCGGAAACTGAAGCTGCCAACTCCTTCTCGCTGATTGGTGGTATGAAAAGTCATGACGTAAGAGAGTCCAGGCCAATTAGAGCACAGGAACGGCGGTTTCCAGAACTCACGCAGCCGGATCGGAAAGGAGGTGGCCGCCGCCCGTGGTGGTCTTTCACGGTTTCTGGGTGTTTGTGACCCTCAGCCTCCACCTTTCCTCCTGTGGCCCCCACGATGCCGATGTACCAGGTAAAGCCCTATCACGGGGGCGGAACATCTCTACGTGTAGAGCTTCCGACCTGCATGTACCGGCTCCCCAACGTGCACGCCAAAAGCAGCAGCCTGGCGCAGAACGCGGTCCACGTGCAGGTAGGAGCGCGCCCTCCCATCCGTCCAGTGCGCAGGCGCCAAGGCCTCCCGCCTGCCTAGTACGCAGGCGCTGTGGCCAGGCTGGCGGGGTCGCAGGACTAGGGGTCGGCGACTATCCAGGCCGGGGTCGTGTCATCTGTTGTCTTTTTTTCGCTTAGGGCTCAACTTTTATTCGGAAATTTTACCCGCAAAAAGTGAATAGCACGTCAGTGCCCATATTAAGAATAAGGCAAACCCTACTGTCACCACCACTCACCGTAACATGTTGTCAGCGCCCCCTTAAACTACCCCCGAAGGGCCCGACTTCCATGATCATGTCCTGCTTTTCTCTCTCATCGTGCCACCTAAGGATGCGTCCCTAAACCACGTAGTCATGCTGTGAATGGAAGCATGCATTTTGTATCTTGGGTCTGAAGCAGCTTCCAGACATGATTTTGGGACTAGCTTTTGTTGCGTGAAATGACGAAGTTTTTGTCCTCTCTGCTTTCTGCTGTCTGCTGGCCCGACGCATAACTGTAACCCCACGGTTTGCCTGTCCCACTGCTCACGGATGTCGGCTGGTTTTCCATTGTAAGCTACTTCATTCTGCCGTGAGTGTTTTTTGACACGAGCAGGCCTAGAGTATTTGCTAGGGATGGAATTGCTGACTCAGCGGGCAGGTCTGTCTTCAACTGTAAGTACTAGATTAATTGCTCTCCAAGGTGGTTATGCTGATGTATGCTCTTACCAGCAGTCTGTACTAATTAGTGATGCTGGCACCCTCCCCAACTTAGAAGACATACAGGCCCACTGATGTAGCAGGTGATGGTGGTGGATAGACAGATAATTAGAAGTCCAGCATGATGAGAGCACCACAAAGGATAAACTGCTTCTGAACGCATATGGCATAAAACAGATGGGGAAACAATATTCCCACAGTCTAGTCCAAGGAAGAAAAATAACAGACCAACATTAAAAGGGAGGATAGATAAAGCAGGTTTGAGCATTTCCTCATTCCTCATATCAAGAACTGAGAGCCAGATGTGCTGGTGGCTTTAATCACAGGTCATATTACTCGTTTGAGTGTTTCAGTGCATTGACAGCTTTTGAGTCCAGAATCGGGGGGTGTCCAACCTTTTGGCATCTCTGGGCCAAACACACAAATACATCAAATACACAAACAGTAATGAAAACTGATGAGCAAAAAAAAAAGGTTTTAAGTAAATTTATGATTTTATGTTGGGCCTCATTTCTAGCAATCCCAGGCCACAGGTTGGACACCCGTGCTTAGGATAAAGAGGAATTAAGACAAGGGAAGAGGAAGCAATGGTGCAGATGGAGGGAACAGAATGAGTAAAAGCCCTGTGGCCACTGGGGGCGTGGTGTGTTGTAGGAATCCTAAGGACTGTGTGGCTAGAGGCAGAGCAGGCGAAATACGTCAGAAGAGGCAGCCAGAGGACAAATCATAGGGGTTACTTATCAGCCAGGTTAAGGGCGTGGCTTTTTAGCCTAGGGAATTAGCCCTGGGGAGGACTTGACAGGATCTGCACCTTTGTTTTCATCAGCACAGCTGCCATCCTAGGGATGGATGAGAGGGGTGGACCAGAAAGGGTGCCAGGTGACCAGCAGTAGTAGGCCAGCTGATCTGCCAGCTGAAGAAAAATGGTGTGTTGGACTTAGGCAGCGGCAGTGGAGGCAGGCAGCTGGGAAGCACACGAATTCCCGGAAGTTGAGAGCACCGAGTGTTGAATTGCATCAGCTTCAGAGGGCAGCGTAAGGAGTGACTAGAGGAGGAGCAAATGTTCCCAAGAATTAGACTTAGCAGCACAGGAATGTGAGCCGGCAGTCCTACACTAACACTGTACCATTTATACTAAACTCGAGGTCATTGCCATATTCTTGAGTGTTTTGCCTAGTTATGACCATTTTGCTCATTTTATTTTGTCAGCTTAGAATGGATTGTCTGTTGTGAGAACTCATGAATCTGGAAATAGGTTGTACAGTATGATTGCATTGAGAGGTATCTTGATATTACTTTATAAGGTAAGTCTTAATGATTTGAGACTTAGTATAAATATTATGGGTAACTTACTGTGTACCAGTTATTATACCAGGCAAGAAAGATGCAGATTCAGTGAATGAAAAATTAAGCATTCCATGTTTATGAAGTTACACATATAAGCAGTAAAAAGTTCTAGATGATTCTAAGATGAGAATACTGGTACGGCCCTGAGAAGAAATGATTTGGGGAATTGATCGTTTGACCTCATGGATGGACTTCCAAGCCAAAGGACACATTTTCTAAATATGTGTGCTCCCTTTTCCCTTCTAGTAGAATAAATTGAGTTACATTTTCACTGCCCTTTTTCTGTTTAAGAAAAGTGTTTCGATATGAAGAATAAAGAGCAACAATTTGTATTCATTTCCTGTTCTCTATTTTTAGACTAATTACCTAAAAGTAGAATCATACAATTTCAAAGTGACTTTCAGTCACATTTTTTGTTTTAAAGCATTTGTGGATCAACTTGCAGGACTGTGGGGAAAATGAGATTATGCTACTTCATTTTAATGTCTTTTAAAGGGTGGGAGGTTTGATGAACTTGTGGAACTACAGTAAGTAGAAGACAAGTGATCAAACTAAGCGGACTGCTTCTATGTCAGAGGGAATGAGCACTCTGTGTCGGTTTGCCTAGGGAGAGTCTGACCCATCTCTTCGTGCTCTTGAGTCCCGCCAAGATAGTATTTTGAAACGTCTGTACGAATTGAAGGCCGCCGTTGATGGCCTGTCCAAGATGGTTCAGACGCCGGATGCAGACCTGGACGTAACCAACATAATCCAGGCCGAAGAGCCCACTGCCTGGTCGACCAGTGCCTTGGACTTAAATTCAGTGCTTGGAAAGGTGAGTTCATGTAAAACTCAAGAACATCCCCGGGTTAGGTGGTTGTTAGTGCCAGGAAGCGGGGCTCATGGGGATGAGGCCATGGCTTGCTGGTTTTCGGAGGTGCTACAGGGGCACACGCTTTTTTCTCCCCCGCACGACCGTGCCATTGCAAAGCGCAGGTTCATGAGCTATGAGTGGAGGCAGAGCAAGCTCTAAAGCTGCTTCTTGACATCCCAGACCCAGGGCAGAGGGCAGAGAAGGGAGTCGGGTTACAGCCTCCCCCCTTCCAGGGAACGTTCCAGCAGCCGGAGCCCTGGAGAAACAGCTTACGTCAGGGTCAGCTGGCAGCCCTGGCCCCGGGAGCGGCCTGAACGGCAGGGCCCTGGCAGCCCACGTACAAAAATCCCGCCAACCCCGTCGAAACATGTCGCGGACAGCCGGTCACAGCCTCGTATTCCGAGTGTGATTTGCTTAAATTCCATTTGCTTTATTAAAACAAAGCTACGTCAGCCACCTTTAATGAACAGTCTGCAGTCTTCAGCTAATTTAGGGTATGATGTGACAGGTAAAGAAAAAAATGTCATACGACAAAGTATTATTGGAAGGTGCAAAAGGGACTGTCCCAAGTATGCCTGCTAATTCCCTTCTCTAGAACTGGCGACAGGAATAGCACTACAGAAGGACCTAAACAGTGGAGGTGGTTATGACGGTGTCTGTCCCACGGCTCAGTTTTTGGTAACCTTAGTCCCCCAGCACGCATGTCCCTTAACCACCCAGCACATGCTTGCGTGCACAGAGGTGCCAGTGAGACCTGGCCAGGCCCGCAGGGAGCCAGGCTGGTCGACGAGCCGCACTCCTGTGCCAGCCTCAGGGCACTGCGAAAGCTCCCAGGGCCCGTGCTGCCGAAGACGAATTTTGATAACCTCAGAAGGCGCAGAGCGTCAAGTGAGGCGTATGCTCAGGGAGCATCCTCGCTCGCATGAAGGGCGTCAGCCAGGAGTGCGAGACCAGGGGCCAGGCTGCGGTGGGCCGGGCCCACTGTGTTCTGCGAGTTCACCCCTAACGGCCGTGAGCGTATAGAAATAAAGTCCATGTCTAAAACGGCGGAGCTTTCCATGCTTTAGGTAACGCCTAGCTTTTCAGAGCCCCTCCACCTCTCACCACCAACACTTTGAGCCGGCACCCTTTTGCAAGAGACTCGTCATTGACAGGTTCGCAAACTCGAATGGGTGTAGAAACTAGCTGCTGTCAAGGGGTCAGGTGTGAGGAAGATTTGGTAAATGGAGGACGTCCTCCCTCCGTATCCCCGGGGGCTGGTTCCACGTTCCCCCTTGGATTCCAAAATCCATGGATACTCTGAGGCCATCACATAAAATGACGTCGAACGGTGCATGCAGTCGGCCCTTTGCACGTGCCGAGCTCCAACCGCTGATCCCGGTGATTTCTAGTCCCCACCCAGCTGGCGGAATCTGCAGGTGTGGAACCCACGGAGAGAGCAAGCTGACCGTGATTGCGTGTGATTTTTAAAAACTTAGGGACAAATAGAAGTGTCATTCCTAATACATGGTTTCACTAATTTGACAGTACAGTCAACTTTTTGTCAGGAGCCAGCAGTGCAGGGACTAAGGGACCGGTGTCAGCTCAGACCCCAGCTCCACTCTTCACCGAGTGACCTGGGATAGGTCACCGTCTCCCCCGGACTCATTTCCTCCGCTGTGAGGTGGGGTCATGGTAGCACCTTTTTCTTGGGTGTTGGGGTCTAAGAATAGCACCTGGTACAAGTACCCCCACTCAAATTGCTGTTAATGCCACCGGCTGTGTTTGGGGTCTCCCAGGATTACGGGGCCCTGAAAGACATCGTCATCAACGCCAACCCCGCCTCGCCTCCCCTCTCCCTGCTCGTGCTGCACCAGCTGCTCTGCGGCCACTACAGGGTCCTGTCCGCCGTCCACACGCATTCAGCTGTCAAGAACGTGCCGGGAAACCTGCTCAGGTGCTTTGGCGAGCAGGCCAGCAAACAGCCCCGTCACGAATACCAGCTGGGTTTCACTCTGATTTGGAAGAACGGTAAGTAGAGGGGACTGGGTTCAACGCATGCTGTGTCCTGAAAGGCGCACCGTGATTTTACTAAGAGGCAGCAGGGGCGGGGGCAGTGACACTCTTCGGCTGTACAGACTCTCCAGCCGCACGCCGCTGGGTCAGGGTATCGAAGAGGAGCACAGGTGAACCCTGACGCAAAGACGCCCTCTTTCCTCCAGGAGGACCAGGGTCTCCGACGGAGAGCACAGGGTTCGGGGAGACCCCGTCTAAGCAGCCAGGGCAGCGCAGTAGCAACTGTCCCAGCCCTTAGCCCTCTCGTTCCAAAACCTGTCGTTACAGGGACATCGATGTTACCTTTTCAAACAGCCAGGAGGAGTCCCACTCACTCCTCATTGCACTGAAGAGGGGCTCCCCTGGTCCCCCCCATGCAGGGGAGGGAGCTATTGTTTGTCCAGTAACCCTTAACCGCCCTGCTCAGTGGCAGACTGGGGAGGTACGAAGGTCTCTGACCCAGGAGACGGGGCTCCTGGTCTCCGGGCCTCAGCCTGCGGACCCGCAGGCACGGGGCAGGGTAGATGGTTTGAGGTTCCTTCTAGCTTGAAAACTCATAATCAAGTACCAGACATGGTTACTTTCTTAATATATAGTCTGCGTTCTTTAAACGGTTTAAACTTCAACTATTACACCTAAAAACATGATCTTCTTGGAGGTACACTTTGCCTTCCACCAGTGTGTGGTGAGCGAATTCCCTCCCCATGGGTACAGGCAGTTCCTGTGGGTGCCGCTCCTTCCTGTTGACATTCCATGGGGTGTTTTCCTTTCAGTGCCAAAGACTCAGATGAAATTCAGCGTCCAGCGGATGTGTCCCATCGAGGGGGAAGGGAACATTGCTCGGTTCCTGTTCTCCCTATTTGGCCAGAAGCATAACGCAGTCACCCTAACGCTCATCGATAGCTGGGTGGATGCAGCTCTTTTCCAGTTGAAAGAGGGAAACAGTAAAGAAAAAGCCGCTGTGCTCAGCTCCATGAACTCCGCCCTGGGGAAGAGCCCCTGGCTCGTGGGGAGCGAGCTCACGGTGGCCGACGTCGTGCTCTGGTCGGCGCTCCGGCAGACGGGAGGCTGCGGCGGGCCCGGGCCGGCCCATGTGCAGAGGTGGATGAGGGCCTGTGAGAACCTGGCGCCTTTCAGCACTGCTCTCAGGCTCCTCCAGTGACCCCCCAAAACGGACTGTAAAGGATCTAGACCGGAGTTTAAGGATGGTGCTCTTTCACGCCTGTTGTTGGTAAAGGGACTTGTACCAAAATCAGAGTCTTTAATTACACCAGTTGTCGAGTGTCAATAAAAGTACCATATAACTTGAGGTTTTTGTTTTATTTTAAAATTCGGCACCATCGTGCAGTACACCATGCCAGTACACGGCAGGCACCTTTTGGGTACAGAAACAAACATACCATACCATCACCTCTGAGGAATGTAGGAGTTGGGTGCTGTGAGGCGAACGCCGTGGGGACACTGCAGGGGCAAAGGCAGGAGCCCTGGCACCGTAGCTGCTTTGAGATCTCTTGGGGGCAAGAAGCACAGAGCTTGGAAAGGGCACAATAATACCAAGGGTAAGGCGATGGGAACAGAAACAGGCTGGGTGACGCCCGCCGCTAAGCAGCTGAAGTTCATCCGCATGCGGAAGGGGCTTTTTTTGAGCCAGAGCCTGAACAGAGGTGCCCCCTGGTCGGTAACCGGCCGCATGTGGCAGGGCCAGGAAAAAGGGCAACTGCCAAAACCCGCGGCCCCTCTCATACACAGACCCGGCCTGGGCAGTGAGTGGCGGGTGCAGAACACAGCTTTAGAAACCTGGAGAGGAGGGACTGGTAGTCAATAGGCAGAGTTCAAAAGAATTGAACTCTGAGGGAATTTTAGCCTGAGGGACTGGACAGAGTGATCTAAGCGATCCAGAAATGGAAGGTTGTAGAACAAGAGGAGAAAGCACAATAGGGTTAGTTTAGAGCAGTCAAGTTCAAAAAGCTAGATCAGGAAAGAGCTACTTCAGGAAAAAACAACCTCACTTCAGTGTCATGTACGATCTTATGACAACTAAGTACTGTAGCTCATCATCTGTACCCTGAAAAAGGTTGAAGCCACACATTCCAGTTGACTTGAGCTGACAGAGCTGAGGTCCAGCCATACTCCTAGAGGCTGAGTAAGCTAGGCAGGAACGCCACTATCCTTCATGTCATCCCTAACCCCTTTGTCCCGAGAGAGGAGGCTGAGCTGCTTCTTTAGTTCTTCGATTTCTTTTTCTTGCTCTAGTATCTTCATCTGCAGGGTGAGGTTAACCTGAAATAGAAAATTGTGAGCTCCGTTGAAACGGCTTAATTCTTTTACATACACAAGTGTGCCTCACTTCGCATGCTCCCAATACGCATGGTCCCAGTTAGGATGACCAGTGAAATGAGACCAGTCACCCAGCAATGTGGTTCAGGTGTCAGTTACCACGACAGTATCATAGGAAAGTAGATTAGTGTCACAAAACACTAAGTAACCAATACACGTCCTGATCTGGACCAGTCACATCGCTTGAAGTCTGGCGGTTGGTCACGGTGCGTGACAGGTAACACACAGGCCGTGTGTACAGCTCTCTTGCTTCCCTGCCTCCCAGTGATAGACCCAAGGGACATTTTTTAAAAAAAGGACAACAGAAAGAGGGAACTGGCCCACAAAGACGGAAGCGCAACACACTGATGAGAAGTGATAATGCTGGAAGTGAGAACGGAACCCACCCAAAATGGTGTCACAGAAGAGCGAGCTGGCATGGGAATGCTGACCCTGCTGCCAGTAGGCTGGTGGGCAGCCACGGGACCAAGGAAAGGGACCGTCGACAGGGCGAGGAAAACATGGAGCTGTCCCAGATGGTGACACCGGCAAGAAACCTCACATGTGAAGAACTCTGGGAGATATTTCACATCAAAAGCACAAAAGATCGGATGTTGGAAGCTGAACCAAACTTAGCAAGGAGCATGGTTCACCAGGACACCCAGCCTAAGAGGACAAGGTACGGAAGGCACTGTTCACACTTCTCTTGAAATGCTGTAATTCTTGATTACAGTGCACTAAACACTGGTTTTACCGTTTTTTGTTTGTTTTTTTTCCATTTCTATGTACCTCTGTTACTGACAAAGTTTTAATGTTTTGATAATCATTTTTAAGGTCATGGAATAATAATTTGCCCAATGATTATTAAGACCTTTTGCATGGTTTGAGCTCTGCATGGTGACTTTTGCAGACCTTCCTTCTCTCCTGTGCAAAACAAGGACTGCCTGTGCATGCAGACTTCAGGTGTGTGTGTATGTAGAGGTTATCTTACTAAAAATTCTACAGGCCAGGAGGATTCTTCACCATAAACACCAAATAACTGGTCTCTACTTGCTATCTTAACTGGGAGTCAGAACATCCCTTCCATCTGAGGAGATCACTTAATAACCACATCTGCCACCTTCAAAGACAGAAAAGTATTCCATCTACTTGTTTATCCTTCAAGCTAGTAAAATTCACTATTTTACCTGAAAATTAATAAGCCTAAATAGAAGATAAATCAACTAAAGAAATGCAAGTAGTTCCCAAATTAGTGGATACCAGGATCACTTCAAGGGTCTGTTAAAGCTCAGATTGACTGTCCCCTCCCCCCACTCTCACCCCCGATTAACGGGGGAGTGGGGAGGGCCTTAGAATTCTATCAAGTTCCAATGATCGAATGCTGCTGGTCCAGAGACAACAGTTGAAGAACCACTGCACCCGTGCAATGCTGCTCCCACACCGGGGAGGTGAGCCACTCGGGGTCTTGGTAAATGTGGATTCTGACCCAGGAGATCTGGGGTGGTGCTCACGCATTTCTGATGGGCCCCCAGATAATGCTGATGCTGCCAGTCTGAGGACCACACTCAATAGCCCAGTACAACGGGACCTGTGAAGATGTCTTTGAGTCAGGTTTTTAGCTCAGTGTTTCTTGAGGAACAGAATGGACGAGCCACGCTGCCAGTATGGGCAGACCAGAGACGGTGCCGGGTGCTGGCGCTCTATGGCGTCCGGGCGGGAGGAAGGGAATGGGCCGCCTGGGGCGACGCCACAGCCCGGGATGGAACTACAGGTACAGGTGGCTGCTGAAGGTCTTAGGCCCCGCCTGCTCCACTCCCTGGGAATTACTGCTGTCCTTTGCCTTGTGCTGTGTCCCTTTTTTACTAGTAGGCTCGTTGTAATCACCTATGCCAGCTTCCGTACTGCAGTCAGCAAGATGCGGCGGTAACTGCCTTTTATACGGTAGCTGCGTTTTTAGAGCAGGCAGCGGTCATCTTGCACTTGGACTGTGCCAACAAGTGTGCTACTGGGCACTCTGAGAGTGAGCTCACATATTTTGTTTCCATAAATCTTATTCTAAGCTCTACTGTTCTTCATAAAATAGGATTCACCATTTAAATAAACTCTAAGCTTCATATTTTCCCCAGCATTGAGAAAAGACAATACATACGCTTCCGGAGTTTTGGAAAAGCTCGCTCTGCAGCAGCTGCAGCGCCGATGGCCTCTGGGACGCATTCCTTCTGGTCAGCTGCTGGATGTACTTGGCCGGCACAGGACACCTTTTACTGAGGGAGTCGGGTATCTGACCAGTCCTCAAGCCTGTCAGGACCCGTGCTCGCTCCATTTCTGTTCCAAACGGCTGGAAGAGCTCCAGCAGGATCACGCCCAGGCTGTACATGTCGGACTGGGAAAGCGGGGAAGAGCGTCAGTCAGTGATGAAACACAAGGGAGCGAGGCAGCTCCACGTCAGGGCACCGTCCTCCCAAACACGAGAGGACGTCCAGGAAAGGACGCTGCAATGAAGGGACTGGCCCATCGCTCACGGGCCCTGTCAGCCCTGTCTACTGTCCTGAGAGCGAGGTGACAGGTACTGTCACAAACCCCACCCCTTTCATGCCAGAAAGGGGCTCCCGGCACAAAGGACTGAGGGCCCGGTGAGGGGCGGGGGGCACCATGCCCACGGCAGTCTCTGCCACACGCCCGACCCCACCCGCCTTGGAAACCCGGGCAGCCCAGCGGGAGGCAGGTGTGAGTGCGCACTGGCGCCGGCCTGAGCGGGCACATGGGTCCCGGGGCCGCCTCCAGCCTCACCTCTGCGTCACTCACAGGTAAGTGGCCCTTATACAAGTTTAACAAACTGCATAAACTCTGTGCCACTTTTCCTGAAAACAGGTTTTTTTAGAAGATCCAGACTAAGCAGGACTTTAGGAGCAGCTACAGTTTCTTCTGACAACTCTTTCCTGGTCATGAAAATGTTGAATGACTCATCAAAGGGAAGAAAATTTACTAGGCTCTTATGTTGAGAAAGGGGTTTTACTTAACATTCCTTCCAGGGAGCATGTGGATCAAAACTTTTTGGTATCTTCGTTCTACTTCAAAGGGACTCAAGCAACACCCTGCCTGGCCGCATTATTCCTCATGTGTTTACGCTTGAAAAGAGGAGAATGAAGGGCTGAAAAGAGGCCTCCGATGAACTCTGCCTTTTTGACGTAATGGCAAAATTCTAAAGGGAAAGCTCATTTCAAAAACAGGTTGTTGTCACACCCATGGGTTTAAAGATAGTAGAAGGACTTAAAAAGCAATGCGGTCAGGTTCAAATGCGAAGGAGGCCTCCCTCCTATTTCCACGTTTCATGTGACAGGCAACCTACAGAACTGTCATCTCCACTGCACGCACTGCCCTTCCCGTTACTAACGGCTGCAGAGTAGCCAGCGACCGGGCAAGGAGCAGGAAACGCTACCTTGGCATCGTACTCGGATCCTTCCAACTGCTCGGGTGACGCATACAGGCAGGTACCCACTCTGGAGGTATGTGTTGGTGTTCCTACAATTTGAAAGGCTACATATTAAACACTGAGCGTTAACACATTAAAGAACACGGACTCGGACTAGGTGCTGTGGTTTCCAAGGCACTGACGGGTACCTTCTGTCTTTAACTCACCTTTGCTATCAAATCTTCCTAATTCTCTTTAAATATGGACATCTTATTTAATTTATTGTATTTTCTTCCATTACTATTTATCCCTGCTATACCTTCTTCACCTCCACCCATCCCCTTGCCCCCACCCTGCAATCACCCTGATTTTTTATTGTTTTTAATGAAAGAAAGGAAAAAAAAAATCTCCCAAAACTTACTCTTCCCATTCCTACTGGTCCAGTCTGTGTTCTGTATGATGTCTGTGCAGGCCAGACCGAAGTCTCCAATTTTCACTTGCTGATCAGGGCCATGAAGAAAAATATTTCTGGGCTGTAAATAAAAAAGAACAAGTCAACTCCTTGGTGTTCCAAGAACAAGTAGTAAAAATGTGGGGATGTTTAAGAGTTTTCAACTCAGGGGCAAGTGGCCCCTCAAAAATGAAAAATCAGAGCAGTGGTTCTCAAACTCGGCCGCATGTTCGCATCTCCAGGGAGCTTTAAGAAAATCTCCAGGTCCACGCCATTTCCCAAACCAATTAAACTGAAATTCCCAGGAGTGGGCCCCGGTTGTCATTCCACGTTTGAGAATGGCTAATGCGGCGCCTGCCTGCACACAGCGGATCCGCAACCCTAACTGGACACCCAAGTCACCGAGAAGCTATAGCAACCGCCGTCCTCTCCAACAAGTTAAAGGCTTCCATTTTTTCAATGAAAAAAGTTTGATTATTTTTTTTTAAAGCTCGCAAATAATTCTGTTGACTTGGGTTGGGCATGACTAGGCCACACTATACAGGTAAACATGGAGCTCTAGTTAAGCAACCACCACAGGCCCAAAACGTCCCCCCAGGAAGCTGCTCCTGCGCCCATGAAGAGCTGCGCTGGCACTGGGGGAGCGGTGCTTCCGCAGACATCTAAACAGTCAGGTTAAAAGTTGGCTTTTCTTATTTTAAAGGTAGCGATTTTAATTTTTTATTTTAATGTATAAATTTCTCTGTTTTAGCTTTGTTAGCTTTTTATAGTTAAGGGAAGGAGAAAATAGAGTCTTGTATGTAAGATAGAATTTGGGTTTCTGCGACCAAGTGGGAAGTCCTAAACATTGCGCTTCTGTCTGGCACCATATGATATAGGAACAAAGCCTGAGAAAGTTTGGCTCCGATATCAAAATGAATAGTGTTCACAGAGAGGGTTCTCAACAATCCTAGAACAGTTCTAGAACAGAACAAAAAGAATCATAAGGACACTGAAGCTGACTGATTCCGTAACAAGCATCCCCTGACCTCGAAAGTCCTCACCCAGAAGTGCTTCTCATGGGAAACGTAGTTAAGAGAGGCAGCGGGGAGCTGGCTGCCGACGGGGCCAGGTCGCTGCAGGGCTCACCTGGCGCGCTCCACAGCGAACTCTACGAAGCCATAATGAGCGAAGACTGCCCTGCCCTCCGGGCACTCCTACGAAGCCACCCCGTCAACCAGCCCCTGCCGGTTCTGGCCAGCCCCACCAGCTGCAGAGTCCTTCAGACCCAGGTACCCCCTTTGCTGCTCCATCATCTTTAGAAAAAGGCTCATGATGCTTCGGAAGGAACACCGAGTCCCTGTGACCTCATTCTACCTCCTGGCTGCCGGAGGCGGGCCCTCCCCACTATCACAGTGACGCGGGAAAAGCCCAGAGCTTGTGCGGCTGGAGGAACGTTAACGCCATCCTCTCAGACGTACCCGTGGTGATTATGTCTGTGTGATGGAATTCTTTTTTCCCATTTTTACATATAATTTTTCATTTTATAAGTTTTTATACAGTGATTATTACTTTTATAATTTTGTTTCCAAAACATGACCCTCTCCTTTACTCCACCCTCTCATCTTGCAGCCATGCTGGAAAGCTACATCTAAATCTATTTTTTAAGAACCAGCAAAATAAGCCCTGGCTGGTGTGGATCAGTGGACTGAGTGCCAGCCTGTGAACCAAAGGGTCGCTGGTTTTTGTTCCAGTCGGGGCACATGCCTGGGTTGTGGGCCAGGTCCCCAGTAGGGGGCACACAAAAGGCAACCACACACTGATGTTTCTCTCCCTCTTTCTCCCTCCCTTCCCCTCTCTCTAAAAATAAATAAATAAAATCTAAAAATTAAAAAAAAAAAGAACCACCATAAACAGCCCTCCTAATCATAGAACATTTGCTGCATTATCTCTGAAACCCTGAGAGCATAGGTGTTACTACTGATACCATTACTCTGGCAAGACCTTAAAAAACCCAAAACCTACTTCAGTCACCCTGTGGGTTAATTTAGGGACTATGGGGCTCAACAGCAATGGCCGCTAATTTTACACTATGAGCTCTTTGCAAGAATCAACTTTCAAAGCTTTAAGTAAGTTATTTGTATTTTCTTGGTAAATCTGCCTTTATTTAACACAGATTTTATAATATGAAATTCACTGGCTTTGGGTCACTTAAAACAGGCCAAAAAAAAAAAAAAAAAAAAAGGAAAATTTCACTGCATATACCAGAAAAATACCAAACCAAGATACCTAAAGCACCTATTTCCTTTGGAATGGGCGGCTAACGCCACGGTCACTGCTGACCGCCGACACGTGAGGCTACCACTGTAACGCGCTGTGGCTTTCTCCCCGAAGCAGACGCAGCCCATCACCCCTGTTCATCTGGCGGCCGAGCACCGCAAGGCACACAGTTTGCACTGTTTATTAGAACACGGCGCTGACCCGGAAGCAAGGTAACGCGACAGGTGACCATTTCTAAATGAGGATATACGTGGTTTAGATGTTAGTTTCCCCAGTCGTGTCTGGACACATCCACTCTTCAGAAGCTGTGGACTAGAAACTATCATGTTTGGAATGAAACAATTTCTTTACTGATTCGATTAGACACTCTGAAAAAATGGGAAGAAACTCAAGAGCACAAATCAATCAGCCCGCTTAAAGTACCCTGGGCGCAAAGTGTTCCTCGTGATGTTGTGGCGTGCATTAAGTCCTGCTCACAGCCCTGAGGGAGTTTAAATACCTGTTAGGTATAAAACATAGAATGTAAACAGGCAGTGGGTTTTCTCCTTTATTACCTACACTAGAATGTACACACTTCATGAAAGGGAAGTTTCTCTTGCTCACCAAATATATCCTCACCATCTAAATCAATGCCTGACACTTCGTAAGTGCCTACTAAATACCATCTGAATGAAGGGAAGAATTACATGGTAGAAAAGTAATACAACTTCTTCCTCCACAACATTAAAAGGAAGGTAAACCCCAAACCCTTACCACGCCCCTGAAGAGCCCCCCGGCCCTCACGCCCCCCCCCGGAGCACCACCCCCTGCCTGGCCGGTCTCCGGCAGTCCTCCCAGGCTGCACAGGCCACCACAACCCCCGTGCTCCTCCGGGGCTCCTCGCATGCCCTCCCTCCGCTGCCCTTCAGCTGCAGCCCGGCCCCAGGTCAGGCTCGCTAGACCTCTGCCCGCCTGCACGTTTACCCGGTTGTCTAACCACGGTTAGGGTCCGCCACGCGGGGCTGAGAGGCCGGCCACGGGCCACCGCCAGCCCTGCCGCCACAGCCCTCGCCCAACGCTCGCACGGAACGCACGCAGGCGAAATGAAAACCACCTTCTAATTTTGGTGAGCAGTCTGCGTTCACATCGGTCCTTGCCCTCTTCTCGGCCAAAACAAAGGAACTTCGGAGGCAATCCTGAGATTTCGGGAATGGAGCAGATGAGGGCCATGCTGTAAAACACGCATGCCTCCCAGCGGGCTTCGCGAGCCGCAGGGTGACAGAGTCCCAGACCCAGCCCTGCCACCCAGTCCTCCCGCACACCCAGGGGACACGTCAGGTGCAGGGCAGAGGCAGAGCCGCTGAGTCCGGGGAGGTCTGGCCTTTTGCGGCGCACTTCTATGGTGACCCCAGGCTGCACTCAGTCCCTGTCATTGACCTGAATGGCCGCTAGCTCAGCTCGGCACTGTGTGGGAAGCTGGGGTAAAACAACAAAAGTAACTAGGACACAGCTCTGAAGAGGCCATGGCCTCGCAGGAATAACGACATAGCAACAAGCTGCCCGAGGAAGCTGGCCCGTCCACGCACTGACGCAAAACACCCCGCCACCCTCCCCCGCCCGAAACATGCTGTGACACCCTGAGAAGCGCAACGGCCCCGCAGATTTCAAACACTTCTCTGAACTAATTAAGGAGGTGACTTCAAATAAATGCCACTTTCTTAGGCACTAATACTCCACATAGAGCCCTTCCCACGTGACTTCAGGGTAACCAGCGCCTACTCCCCATTCCAGGGACGCCCGAGGCCTCACCACCCTCCACCTGATGCTACTGCACTGGCCCATCACCTCTACCGCGCGGACAAAGCCGGGGAACAGGATCCAAAGGCTCCTGACGGACGTTCAGAAGGAAGCCATGACGTGCCTCCGCATTCTGTGCGAGCACGGCGCGCAGGTGAACGCCCAGGCGGGCGACGGCCACGGGCATTCACCCCTCCACCTGGCCGTAAGATACGCGACCTCTCCGGTTCTCTCCCTCTTAGCCCAAAGTGGCGCCCAGGTAAACGCGATGAATGAATCCAGCATGACGCCGCTTCACATGGCTGCAGGTACACTGAATGAGGAGATGATGGAAACACTCATTGCCTGTGGAGCGGACGTCAACTGCGCTGTCCCTTCCACGGGGAACACAGCCCTTAAGCTGGCGGTGTGCACCGTGTCCAGCAAAGCGGGCCGAGTGCTGGCCGCGGGGCTGAGCTGCATCCGCCTGCTGCTGAGCCACGGAGCCAAAGTCAATGCCCAGGACCAAAACGGCCAAACGGCGCTCCACGAGGCGTGTTTAGCAGGCAGAGAGGCAGTAATCAGTCTCCTGCTTGAATTTGAAGCCAACATTAACATCTTAACAAGAAACGGGGAGTCTCCCATACACATGTACCTCCATCGCAGTTCTAACCTAAAAGACAAGACGCTCCTTGCCAAGTTGCTTTACCGCTCTTACCCTTTGAGACTGACAAATAACCAAGGACTTCTGCCTGCAGGAATCACACTCCCAGAATTCCACGCCTTAAGGGAATCTCTAATAAAGCTGTCTCAAAAACCCTTATCCCTAGAGGACATCTGTAAAAGAAGCATCAGAAACATTTACGGTGAGAGATACAAACACTACGCGAAGCACCTTCTCCCGGGGAAGGTATGGAGCACTGTGTACAGGTATTATGACCTGGCCTGCCTCTTGCAATAAGACCTCTGGGCGCCACAGCACTGCAGGGCTCCAGGAGCTCCAACGCCATCCGGGCTAGACCCGGACCCAGAAAATACCTCGCCCACGGCCCTATCCACCCCAGACGTGCAAACTCTGTACGCTTAACCTTCTTCCAAAAATAAAATGATTTGCCTATTAACTTTTTGTTCCTAAATATTCTTTTAAATGCATTTTCCATGATTTAACTCTTACCCCAGAAGTACGCAATTTAAAACTCTCAAAGAGGTAAATGTATCTTCTCTCTTGATAGTACTTTGTAGATAAAAATTGGAATAATCACAGATTTTGATAACAGCAGAATAAAATTTTCTATGTCAAATTTTCTGAGATAATTATAGAAACAGATTTTCACCTCTAAGTTTGAAATAACAGATGAATATTTCTGTCCATGTTAAGTACACTTAGCATCATCAATTACAATCGTACTCAGAGTACATTTACTACCTGAAAAAGAGTGAGAATATTCAAATGCCCAAAGTTTACTTCAATCTTTTAAATTCAATCTAAAGTTTTCACATTCTGGACCTATAAAACGATCATCTACATGAAAGTAACAACATCCTTCTAAGTAAATGAACTAGGGTACCCGACCCCACTTACTTCAATGAACCGACACCAAGGCATCCCTGACCGGAAGCTTCCAATGATTTCACCCTCTCCACCTACCTTTAGGTCTCTGTGTACAATCCCCATGTTATGTATGTAAAATACTCCTTCCACCAATTCTTGAAAAATTCTTGTTGCAACACTGGCCATAACATAAGGACCTACAGTAAAAAAAAAAAAAAAAATTATTTCTCTAATTTTTTTTTTGTTTGTTTCTACTCATTCCATCTACATGTTAACTTGTGGTTCTAAATATATTCACATCTGACATCTACACAACATTCAGATTTTCCACAACATTCAGATTTTCCACAAAGTCAATGCTCAAAAGCAGTTCAAACACGGAAGTTACCAGGGAGGGCTCCTGGGCTAGTAAAGCTCCCGGCCTGCGATGGACTCTGTCACCAGGAAGAGGCCTCTCGTCCCACTCAGAGCCCCTGTGGTAGTTACTTAGTAAGCAATCCCCAGGGCCCAGGTGACGAGGCGGAATCATGTTTAAGTCCCCTCCAACCCCTGACATGCTGGGGTTTAATGCTAATAAATCTGTGATCCTGGCCACTGTGAATTGAAGATCCTATCACAAATAATGGAGTAAGAAGAAAGATAAATTATGTTAGCCCAAGGGATGAGCTTCATTGTCTGCAAGATTCTGAACACATATTTTCCAAAAATGACTGACAAATGAAGTGTAGGGGCCAAAGGTAAATGAATGACTTCACCTGTTGATAAAACAACAAAGTATGTGAATTCTGAGGGTGGAGACGTTTGCAGGACTAACGCAAATAAAAATCGACGAAGAAAAAATCCTTCAGTTTTCCAGCCAAGCAAGTTCGGTAAGAGAGTAAGAACTCACTAGCTCTTCCGCATTTAGTCATTTTAAGCCATCAGCCTGTTGCTGACCTCCAAGCACAGGAATGCTGCATGCGCCCTTCTCCACGCCGCGATCAGCAGCTCACCCCTGCTCCACCCTCCTCTTCGCCGCCGAGCTTACAACTCAGGGACCTGCGTGTGTATGTGTGCGTGCACATGCGTGTGTGCAAAACCACTGGTACCTCCACCAGAGGTACCTCTACTGTGACACCCTCACACTGAAGCAACCAACCTCTGGCCTGGGTAGAAACGCAAGGTGAGCTTTTCCGTACGGTACATCTGTCAGTCAATGTGCTAATCTAATACTGAGACAGTCCTCAGTTTAGTCAGGTTTCCAGTTTGTACCCGAAGTCCCATTTGTGTTCCAGGGTTCTAACCTGGACACCACACTACATCTAGCTGTCCTGTCTCCTGAGGCTGCTCTGGTCTGTGACAGTGTCTCACGCTTTTCCTGTGTTTGAGGACCTTGATGGTTTGAGAAGTACTGGCCAGGACTACTGGGGAGTGTCTGCCTCTTGCAATAAGACCTCTGGGCGCCACAGCACCGCAGGGCCCCAGGAACTCCAACGCGATCCGGGCTTGCCTGATGTTTGTCTCATGATCAGACTGGGATTGTGGGTTTTGGGAGAAAGACCTGAGATCCAGTGTCCTCCCCTCACATCTTCTGAGGGCATCAAGGAGCAACTCGAGTTACCCCTGTTGACACCGGCCTTGGTCATTGAGGTGGTGTCTGCCAGCTTTCTGAACTGTAAAGTCCTTTTTTATTGTCATCTTTTAAAAAGTTCCCCAAGTGATTCTAACGTACTGCCCAAGTTGAGAATCACTGTTACAATATTTTAAAAATACTACCTGACAGTATTTCTAGAGGACACACAACTGCAGGGGAGGGAGGGGAGTCAGGCCCATGAGGGGGACAAACTGTTGACCACATGCCTTCCTATAAGGGTTTCTCATTTTGTTAAGAGTACCACATTTTCAGGTTAAAAAAAGTAAAACAAGTGTTTAAATTTTGCCCTTAGAAATTTCTGAAAAAATATTTTTTGTGAAAGACCTATTTCACCCAAAATCATTTACCTAAAAATTCTAGCGCATTCCTGCTTAAATGCCAATTATGTATCTATCACAGAGAAAATTAACTTCCAATGACTTTTTGAAAAATGTTGAAATAAGCATAATTGTTTCTTTGGTTCAAAAAAAGTGATCCCCCCCCCCCCCCCGGCCAATTTAAAGCACCTGGGGGCAGAAGGCAGCAGATCCTCCCGTCTGGATCCCCCTGCCCCCCACCGACAGACCCACCGGTACTTACACGCAGACTCGTCCACGCACTCCCGGCCGCGGGTGTTCCTCTCCACTATCCAGTCCCACAGCGAGAGCTCACACAGCTGCATCTGGATGTGCAGCATCAGGTGGTACTGCACCTAGGGGGCGACACAACGCCGCTGCCGTCTCCGTGCCTACACGTTCAGTCAGTCAACTTTGCCTCCTCTCCGCCAAGCCCTGGCCTGGGAGTTGGGGACCAGAGGGGACAGGCACGGGGTGGGGGGGCCCCAAGATGCCCCAAGTCGGGTGAAGGAGATGGAGAAGGAAAGCAATGCTTAAAGCTGTGTGTCACAATCCAAGTGGGCAGGGGCAGGCCTGCGGAGTTAGGCAGACGTCAAAAGGCAGAAAGCCCCCGAACGGGACCCCGAGGCACTGAAACTGTCTGATCTGCTCACGACATAAACAGTTTTGAGAGTTAAGATCCAGAATCAAAGGACAGCTGTATGGTGTCCTGCTACTCTGTGCACACCCCAAAGTACATTTTGCCTGGCTTCACACTGTACATAACTTAAATAGCTTGTCCAAGGAAAATGTAAGTAAAAAGGAAGCCCACTGTAGCCCACTGATTTAGGCATCAGGAAAATTTTCCAAGCTTATTCCAAAGGAATAAAGCCATTCTGATTCAAAGTCCCTCATACACAGCTCCTCTGTACTCAGATGAACCTGTTCAAAGTTTCATGTTTCATGAAAAACCACGTGCACACAGCCACGTATTCCTGGACAACAAGAATTCTGCGTGCGTCTACAGTTTTGTAATCCAGTAGGACCGACTGCATGCAGACCCTGTTCATCTTCAAGTTTTCTTGATACTAATACTCATCTGGCAAGCGTACGCCTGAGTCTCACCAGCACGCCAGCGCAACCCTCAACAAGTCTCCTGAAACCTGACCTGGGAACCCTGCTCGGACGCTCTCTCAAAGCCGTGTTCCCAAATGCAGACAATCTGTCAGCATAAATATGTGTGCAGCATGATGCTGCCACACAACACAAATAGTGCACACGACGCTACCCGCTCCAGGGTACGTATATGAGAAGATCTAGGGGGAATGACCCAGAAAAGGATGAGTGAACGAAGTGAGGAGGGAAGACCAGACACAGGGGAACACGGCCGGGAGGGGCTGATCGCAGGGCAGACGGCTGGCGCAGGCTGGGGAAGGGGTGCCAGGCAGGAGGCCTGCTGGGCGGAGGGCAGGCCGCACCAAATCACGGCCCTTCAAACAGCTGCTACGGGGACCATGGAACCGGTGGGTTCTGGGAAAGTAACCTACCTCTGCCTGTCCCACCAGGTTGAAGTTGTCGTCAGAAGACTCCTCAGTGGATGTGAAATTCCCTTCTAGGTCTGAAGTGAGCCTCAGTGGCAGCTGGTTCTCAACAATCGATCCGGAAGACAACTCAGCCAAGCCATTTTCTTGGAATACAATGGAGGATCCAAATTCACTGGTGTCTCCTGTGACTAAATTGGTGGTGTAGTTCACCAATTTGTTATTCTGATTTTCTCTGCCGGATTCCCCTAAGGATTTTTCTTTTTCTGAGTTGCCCTCAGCGAAGATAATGGATGAGCTGTTACTTTCATCATTGTTAACATCATGCTGCTCCCTGGAGGGGAAAAAAATAAAGATAATCATGAATGAAAAAAAAGATCAACAGTAACTCAACTGTTCCTTCAGACCTATATGGATCTTACTGTAAACTTCTAGTGGGAGAAAAGGTATCAAATCTCTCTAGCAGCCACATTTATTTAAAATACTGACAGGAAATATCTGACCAGAGAAAATAATTTAATATTTTGTGAATGAAAATAAGCAAAAAAGACAAGTCTACAACACTCCTGAGCTCCTAACAGCAAAAGACAAAGGCAACCCCATGCAGGTGACAGGCGACACCTAACCTGCAGGAAGGCCACACCAGTCCACATACCTGTCATCCTCCTGCGTAGAGATCACTCTCAGAGATGGCAACTGAACAGAAATTCTATCTGCCAAACAGAAACAAAAACAAACACAATCCTTCAAGCAGCCCGACTGTCTAATTCATAGTCCAGGCAGAACTAAAAATACACGAATGATACCAAATGAGACTACCTGTCTAAAAACGTCATGACCTTTTGGCAAAGTACACTACAACCTTATTCAACGACTGGCATGTTTTAGAAACTATAAACCAGCTGTCCCACTATACAAGGGGGCGGCACACTCTCTGTGCAGGACCTGGTGACGAGTACTTTAGGTTTTCAGCCCCTCAGAGGCCCTGCTACAGCTACTCAGCTCTGCTGTTGTAATACAGAAGCAGCCACAGGCAGTACATATCAATGAGCCTGTGTTCTAATAAACTGTATTTACTAACAACGAAATGTGGAGTCTCATATAATTTTCACAAAATATTCTTCCTTTGGTGCCTTTTATTTTTTAAATGTAAAAAAAAAAAAAAGAAGGGCTCTCAGCTTCTGGGGTGCACAAAGCCAGGGGCAGGCCAGGTCTGGCCTACGGACTGAGCTTTGCCAGCCTTCCACCATATCTAACCCGAAACTGCTTACTTGGCTTTTGGGCCACATGCACGTGCTCTATCCAAGCAGTGTGATAGCCCACGACGTTAGGGTGCTGAAGACCCGCCAGCACCTTCACTTCCCGCAGTACCTAGAGGAGAAACGCGCTTAGATGGAGTGTCTACTGGCAATTTGTTAAAGGCTCACAGCATTGAACACCACTCATTCCAGAGCAAACAGTGGAAGCCCCACGTGCAAGCGATCTAAACTCTGTGATAGCCACTAGCCTTGCGTGCGCATAGCACTTAACACTTCAGGAACAATTGTTCTCCTGTAAGCAAGTCCAATCCACAAGTTAAACAAAACCATGTTGCCAGCACTATTTCAAGGGCGGAAGACAGGAGGGGCTTAGCGGAGTAGGTCACTTGCCCAGGACCTCACAGCACGTCAGGGAGAAAGCTGGGACCTGAGTTGAGCTCCCGCTTTTTCTTAACAAGCTGTACTGTTGTGGACAATGTAGTTCAAAAATCAGTTTCCCCAGCAACGACCCCTAAATGGGGTCAATCTGAAATACCCCCCAAAAATTAAGTCTGATAAAAACTTCATTTTGATGTTTTTGTTACTGTAACCCATTTATAGTCAACTGGCAATCCATCCCACCTAGTATTTGCCAAATACAAACACATATACACAACTCCTTCAAAAAAACTTAAGATACTCGATTATTCCAAATAAATTCATTTTGAAAATCTTACCTTCATGCAATCTGTCTTAGTTGCGCCCTTAATCAGGATTTTTTTAATTGCATAATACTGACCATCTAATTTATTCCTGACCTGAAAAGTGGAGGGGAAGAAAAAACATATTGTGCCATTAAATTTCAACTGAATAAAGGAAATTCTTTTCAGCTGAACTTAGATAACCCCTAGCCAGAGAGATAAAATTAAGCTAAAAATATGCGTCCTCTTCCCCACGTTCAGGGAAGTCAGCGGGGCTCAGCCAGAAGAGATGCCTTTCAAACAGCACTGCGAGACCAGCTCCTGGAAGCTCCAGGTCTGGAGAAGAGAACGCTGGCAAAGGGGCCCTGCAAAGCCCAAAACACAGCAGCACAATTCTTTCCAGGAACACATTTTTAAAGAAAAATTTACTATAGAACAAAAACTCCAAGTGTCCAGAATCCACCACAACCACCAATGTGATTCGGGAAAAATGAAAACTTGCCCACTTCCCCATAAATGACAAATTTAAAGAATAGTAAGTATATATGATTTCTAGGAATTTTCCTTTGCACACTTTAAATAATGAAAACAACTTCTCAAAATACACTTATTTAGAGAGTAGGTAAAAAAAAATATGTGGCAAACAACCTTGTACACTCTTCCATATCCACCTTTTCCTAAGATGGTAAGCTCTTCAAATTCATTTAAGTAACGTGAGGTTTGTGCTTCAAAGGCTACTTCCCTGGATCTGAAAGTTGAATACAAACAATCAGTCAATATCAAAGCATGAGGGCATCAAGATGTTCCAGTGCGTTCACAGTCCCCATATTACTACCAACCTGCTAACTTCGTGTATCACTAAATTGTGGTAATTTGGAAAAGATGAGCTGAAATTAAATGTTTCATTCTCTAGGAAGAAAACATTTGCTAAGCAAATCGACAGGGTAATAAAGAGAGCAAGGGGGTCATTAATCAAATTTTAAGTATTTTACCAGCAATTAGCATTCAACAGTTAACAGAGAAAAGTTGATTTGCGGAGCTCAGTAATAAAGTTACTTAAATTTCTGAATGATCCGGACAAGTTACAGATTTTAAACTAGGATTTCCAAAATATAGCCAAGATTCAGTGGTTTTCCCAACAGAGACTGGACACCAGTCCTCTGAATTGTGGGTGGGATGTATGGAATCCACAGTGAATAAGGGGAACAGGGGGCCAAAAAGGAGGAAAATTTTTTTAAAGGCAAAAAACGACAACAAAAAAATTTTTAAGGAGGGAAATGAGAGGTAAAGCAAATGTGGAAGCAGTAATTAATTGCTGAGAACCAAGTTTTTAATTTTCATAAACTATACTAACTATAATTATTTTTTAACCCAAAGCTAATTTCTGATTAATTTAGGATTAAATCTTAACCCTGACTTCTTTTGGATAGTTTAATCTTTAAATAATCACGAAAGTATTTGATACATACCTGATCTTCTGGATATGAGAATTATCCTCACAGGGATCCTTAAAAAAAAAAAAATTAAAACCATTTTGAAAATTTGATGGAATAAGGAATCTATCAAAATTCAATGCCATATTGATAAACCCAAAAGCTTATACAACACTAAAAAAATAAAAAAGATTCAATGGCTTTTTCAACATTACCTAAAAGTTTACAGTTGAAAATACTTGTCTCTCAGCCAGGAGATCACTACTAAAAATGCTATATTCTTGCTATCCACTGACAAAGCTGAGAATGTACCAAGGAACTCCATCAGCAAATAATGTTGATTTTACCTTCAAAATATATACAGAAATCGCCTACGTCCCACAGCGCAGCCGCTACCGCCCACTCCCAGCCACCACCGTCTCTTCTGGCCTCTCTGATCGCATCTGTCCCCTGCTTCTGCCCCCAGCCCCCTCAGTCTATTCTCAACTCAGAGCTTAACATTTTAACTCCACTAAAACGCAAAGTCAGGCGTCACTCCTGTGCTCGAAACACTGAGTGAAAAGCAAAGACATTATCCTGGCCTCAGGATCCGACTCCAGCGCTCCGTGCGTCGTCTCTGGGGCTGCCCCCGGGCCCCCCACCCCCGCGCTCCCCTGTGGACCCCAGCCGATGGCCGCCTTCGGCTCCCCGCAGCCTGGCACGCGCTCCCTGGGGAACTGCTGTGCCTCCCCAGTGCTTTCCCTCCAGGGCCCCGCACGCGCCTCCTCCCACCCCAGCTCCAGACTTGGAGTCTCAGCAAGGCCCTCCCTGGGCCACCTACAGAACAGTCATACATGTGCAAGTCCGTTCCCTGTCTTGTTTCCCCTTAACACTATCACCACGCGACCCCCCACACATTTGCACGTATGCCTGCTTCTCCGTTTACTGCCCCCTCCTCACAGCGCCAGCTCCATGTGAGCAGGGATCCTATTTTGCTTATTGCACATGCAAGAGAGCCCGACACATAGTAGTCATTCATAAAGCGTGGTTAAATAAACAAATTAAAGTTAACATTTTTCTAAACCTGTATTATAACCTATATAATCAGGATTTCATAACACTTTAAAATATAGTCCTCTTGAGTCAAAATGTCCTTGTCACGTACAAGGTCCGCACTCCAGAGCTCACCTGGCGGACCCTCTCTCTGGCCGACCTCATCAAGTGAGTAATGGCCCTGTTGTGGTGCAGCCTCAACGAGCTGAACTCATCGCTGCAGGTGAAAGGAGACAGCAGCCCCATTTTGATGAAGGTCTGACAAAGTACTAGAAAAAGAGTACAGAAGACTATTAGGCCATTGGCAAAGTGGCAATTTTAAAGAGTACACAGAACACAAAGAGTGATATTAGCATCTCTAAGAAAAAGCTGCGTTTATATACACATTATCACCTGGGGATTGATTCTGTAAAAGTGCAGGAGCAACGGGTACACTCGCTGGTCAGGAGCACATCTATCATTACTCCTCTGACACTGAACAGCCATTTGTTTCCATTCCTGGCTGGTCAGTAAAGTACTAAGCTCCGTCTTTTAAAAAGGCAAGAAAAATGTAATCACAGTAGTCTGATACTCAAACATATTACATTTTGCAGACAGGCACTGAGATAACAATTAAGGCAGGAGTGGAAACAAATGATTAGAACTGACAACAAAAGGGAACAGTAATTACTGTTTTCTAATATGGAGTATCTTGAACCAACACAGAAGCAGCACATAAGCGATGTGTGTAGAGATCAAATACTAGGCGGGGGAGTCAAGTCTGAAGTCACAATACTGGGCTCCTCAGAAGAAGTTTCTAAAGAAGTACTGGGCTTTTCCTCACTCAGGGAATCCAGATCCATAGAGGATACCTTTCTATATGGAAATCTGCACTTAGATTATTGACTAACTGAATCACATCAAAAACATTTGAAAAGACTTTGTTTAAAAGTTCAGTCACTTAAAAAGGAATTTAAAAATATCTTAAAATCAGCAAGATTTGTAGATTTGCTTTCATTAGATTACTATATTAAAATCATTATAATCTGCTTTTCTATACAGTGAGCCCAAATAATAATTCCCAGCTGCCGATGCTTCGACACCTACAGAATAGCCCCTTCTATACACCTCCCCACTATGTACTTTACACTGTACAAATAATATTCACTGTTTTCATGTGCCATAAGCTCATCAAAATGAAAATCTACCTTTAAGTCAAACATTGCATTCTAAGATCCCTCGAAGGTATCTATGAGTTAGAGAATTTCTAAGACCAAACGAGACTTGAAAAAACTTTGTTGGGAAGAAAGATCCTAGAACCCCTGGCTGCTACTAAAGAGGCCACATTGCTCTCAGTCAATGAGCTGCACCACAATCAACACACTCGATAATTCTGCTCACTTCTGTGCTCACGTTTCCCACACAAGTAATTATGGCAGGATTGAAATAAGCATTTCCGACACCTGCGGTGTAATTAGAGACCTATTTGGTCTTTGTCTCCGCTTCCCGGCACACAGCTCCTGGGGCTGCTGTCGCCCCTCAGTGGGCGGCCCACCGGGAGCCGCTTTCTTCTAGCACGTGCGCCTTGACCAGGTTGTGACGCCAGAGCTCCTGAGACCCTCCCAGCGAGGAGGCCCTTTCTGCAAGCTGAGGAGGTCGCCGGGCCCCTAGGGGCTTCAGAATGGCGGCCGGCCCCCGCGAAGACCAAGCCCTGATCAGAAGCGTAGGCCTTCGGGCTCAGCCCCGTTCCCCGGAGGGGGAGAGGGCTGGAGACGGAGTTCATTCCTGGTTGTGCCAGCGGGGTGGAGCCTCTGTTAACATCCCTGAAGCACAGGCCCCAGAGCTTCTTGGTAAACACGTGCATGTGCCAGGAGGGTGACACACCCCAACGCCACGGGGACAGAAGCTCCTGCACTCGGGACCCTCCCGGAGCTCACCCTATGTGCCTCCTCAGCTGGCTGTTCATCCGTATCCGTTCGCACACCCTTTAGTATATAACAACCCTGTCAGCATAGGTAAGTGTCTCCCTGAGTACTATCAGCCATGACAGCAAATTATCAAAATGAAGGGCACAGGGGTGTAGTGGGCACCCCAATTTATATCCAAGTTGGACACAAGTGAGAGCAGCCTCAGGGCCCTGGGGACCCACTAGGAACTGGCACCTGAAATAAGGGCAGTGCCGTGGGACTGCGCCCTCCACCTGCGGCGCCCGACGCCAGCTCCACGTAGACAGCATCAGGATTGAGATGAAGCGCAGGACACCCAGCCAGTGCCGGAGAACTGGCGGCGGCAGGAAAAGAAACAAACCACACATCTGCATGTGGAGGGAAATAGTTTCCTGTTCAACAGCACAAAATACCGCTGGCCCAGTGCTGTGGCCAACGGCTGGTCCAGCGCTCCCTCCCAGGGGCGCACGGCCGGCGCCCCGGGCACGCTGCCTCCGCCTTCCTCCCCCACAAGCTCGAAGGGCCCTTCTTTTGCTTTTGCTACTTGTTCCCTGAGCCTCTGCAGCCCCGGTGGCTCGTTTCTACTACCTCTGTAACTTCCTCTTAGAATTAAAAGAGAAGAAGAAAACAGAACTGGTTCAGAATGAACATCTGTGATTTTCATTTACCGGCTCACTGACTAAATCATAGGAGAGTTTCACAAATTACATGAATTATTAGGTTACAGATACAAAAAACTACCACTTATCTAAACATTCACGACTTTATGGTTATTAATCTTTCGGGGCCCTTAGTAATTATATTCATACAGAATTATCCAAAGCAAAACGTAAAATGATTTTAAAAAACAGAAACTATTAATGCTTATTTGAAACTGTTATATACACGCTGCTTCTCAGACCCAGAGCATGAAATAACGTAGCACTTTCACAAGTTTTACGTAGCAAGGTGAACCCATTCTTACTGACATTGAAACACTTGTGCTGAACGGTGTGGGTTGGGTTCGTGCACATGGCTCAGGTGCTCCAGCAGAGAGACAAGCAAGAGCTGGTTGGCAACTGCAAAAGGGAAGGTCGGTTGCTGCTGGGGCCCCTTCAACACCTGCAGCTCTGCTGGGACGTCCGATTCTAAAAATCAGAAAAGGGAAAAGTTGCAAGAAATGGTAAACATATCTCAGAATGACAAAACAGCACATTCGAATTAATGAAACGAACTATTTACATGTAAGGCAATAAAAACAAAACAGTAGTTAAGCTGAGCGGGGTTAATCAAGAAAGACTTTCTAGGGTTGATTTTTGACTTGAATTCTGGAAGTTGGAAGAGTAGCAGAAAGATGCCATAGGGGCAAGAGAGAAGGTTTTGGTGGTAATGATGTGCACAAAGGTAGAAATGAATGAATGAATGAATGAATGAATGAATGTTCAGCCGAACAATTGGGAGCAGCACGGTTTCCTTCCGACAGGAGGACAGCCCAGGCCCGGCCCACAGACAGGAGCCGGAAGAAGAGAAAGGGAGGGGGAAGGAGGATGAACGCTTTACTCTGAACACATGCTACATTGTGTACAGTTGTTTTAGATACACAAGCTCATTTAACCCTCACAATACCGGAAAAGGCAAGTGGGACCATCCCCATTCCACAGACAAGACACTGATCGTGTAGTGACGGCCAAGAAGGTGTAAGCAGGCTGACCGGGCTGACTCCCAAGCCCACTGTCCTCTTTCCACTACACAAGACCAACCAGGCCAATGAGTGTGCACTGAAGGTTGTAACCTCTCACTGTTTACTTAATAAATACATTATTCAACAGGCCAAAAACACAACAAAGGAAACTCTTGGAAACGTGGATAGGTAGCCTGGAAGGAGGCAACGCAACAGCCAACAAGAAGTTAGGATGAGCCAGCAAAGGAGGTTGAGCAAAGGAAACATGGAGGAAAAAATAGGTCCCAGAGATATGAGGAAAGAAATGGACAGGCCAGGATTTAAAACACTAGGAATGGAGGAGGGAGGGGTTAATCAAGAGTGGAAACTGGCAGGAGGGCTTGTTAGAGAAAAGATGAGACACTTCAAATTCTTGAAAGCTGTTGACTCAACTCAATGGGAAATGCCCTGCAGGTGAATGGGAAAAGGGCCATATCCTACACCTGCTAAAACTGTCCCCATTTTAAGCATCCTATTCCACTCTCCCCTACGAACCACCAGAAATCCTGCAAAAGTCCAAGTTTTCAAGTCCAGATTTCATTCACGAATTTCGTCTCTTACCTATATATACAGATGGCCAAAAAAATACCTGCATACATGCAGGTGTGCTATTCATTTCACAAAAATACTTCCCTGAGTATCAGAAAGAAGAAGAATGAAAAATGCAGCCATGTAAAAACTTCTCTGTGTAAAGGCATCTTAAAGTTAAAATATCAATCACAAATTCAGATAGAGTACATGTATCTGTACTACACAGGAAAAGAAAAAGGAAAAATTAATAAAACTTTAGAGCTCTTACAAGCTACTAAAAATGAAGCAAAACTAAAATTCAAATAGCTTCAACATAACTAGTAACTAATAACATACATATTAAAATAATTGTGGTAGTCTCTGCCATCAGATTGGTAACTATTCAAAGCCAGAATACCTGGTATTATTATGGGCATAAAAAAGCAGACCAAAAACAAAACACAAAAAAGCAGACATTTTCAAACCAAAGGGGGTAAAAGTATTTGCAACCTTTGGCAAAACATCCTAAAACTTAAATGTGCAAAACCCTAACCCAGCACTTCTATTTCTGGAAATATATACCAAGGAAATAACTCCACGAAATACAACAGATATATACAAGGTCTGTCCAGAAAAACTCCAACCATTGTTAATATAACAAGAATGGTTTGCGCGACATCTGATGTAACCCAGCAGCCAAGGAGAGGAGACGGGAATGCTCCGTGCGTGAACGATGATGACTTCACTGTACTAGTTAGTGGGGGTGGTAGACGCCATTGTGTGAGCACATGTATGTGTGGTTGTCGCATTCAAAATGACTGAGTGAGTAGAGCAATGAATCTGCATCAAATTTTGCATTAAGCTTGAATATTCCTCTTCGGAAACTACTGGGATGATGCAGAAGGCCGCAGCTCTGGGCAACGGGTGACTGGCAACTTCATCACAACAATACGCCCGCTCATGCATCATATCTGTGCAGAGCTTTTTCGTGAAACATCAAATCACCCAGGTGACTCAGACCCTCGACAGCCCAGATTTGATGCCTTGTGCCTTCTGGCTTTTCGCAAAACTAAAATCACCTTTGAAAGAAGAGCTTTCAGATCATCGATGAGATTCAAGGAAACATCATGGGGCTGCTGATGGCAATTGGGAGAACTGCAAGGTTCCCCGGTGCCTACTTTGAAGGGGACTGAGATATCACTGCCCTATGTACATTGTTTCTTGTATCTTATATCTTCTTAAATAAATGTCTCTATTTTTCATATTACAAGGCTGGATACTTCTTTCTGGACAGACCACACACACACACACACACACACACACACACACACACACAATGTTCAGCATAACACTTTAGAATATTACACAATTGTTAGGTATGTTATATACATATAACAGAATACCATGCAGCTCTTAAATATGATGGTGTTTACAAATTATCATAAAGAGACCATTATCAAGTCAAAGAAATAGGCTATAAAACAATAATACTAATGAATTTGAGGAGAGAGAGACAATTTCATACAAACCAACACAACCTTTCTGATCATTTTAGCAAAATGAATCAAAAGCATTTTTAAAAAATAACATATTTTTCTGACTCAACAGATTCTACTCTGTAGATCTAAAGGAAAAAATCAGATATTAACAAAGATTTATGTATACAGATGTCAAACCCATTATTATTTCTAATGGTTAAAAAAAAAAGACAACCTATTTTCCACCAATAGAGCAAAGGCTAAATAAATGACAGTCCAGAATGCGATGATCTTAAAATAATATTTTAGAGGCTAATTTATGACCAAAGAATGTTAATATGTCACATTTAAAAAGCAAATCACAATTTTAAAATATATGTATTTTATAGCTCTATAAATCTACACACATAAAAAGAATGGAAAGAACTAAACAGACAAAATGTCTGATGTCTTCAATGATCTACCAACAGAATTTGTAAAAGGAATGAATTACAGTGGACAGACAGGCTGTTTCCGAGTTGGCCTGGTTGCTCCTTAGCCCTGAGGAGACTACCTGGCACACAGCAGCGCTCGGTCATTTGCAAATGAATGCACCGAATTGTTGGCTGGGAGCTCTCCTCTGGAGTGCCAGTCCATGACCTCCCTTCTTCTTCCTGCCTCCTTTCAATTTTTGAACGATTCCTCTAAATTTCTATCTTATTTGGACAAAAGCTGATAGACATCATTAACCCATGCATGATACCTTCCTTTGACAAATAGTTTTAAACACAAAATTCATCTAAGTTGTCTCTAGCTATGTCAAAATCTAAACACTAATCTCTGGATGAAGAGATCATGGTTTTTAAATTTTCTTTTTAAACTGCTTCCTCAGGCTGTTCTATATTTTCTATATTTAAAATTTCACATGTAATGTGAATTTAAAAAAACATACTGAATCGTTAACAGTGGTGAGATTATGGTTAGGAGGGTTTTCTGCTTCTGTATATACTCATACTTTTCTATGTTCTATATTAAGAAAATTCTTTTTAATAATTAAAACAAAATAGAATGGCTGGTCCTTGAAGTCAAATGAACCTAATATAACAAAAAAATGACAACTTTAAAAACACCAGTGAATAAACTACTCATGCAAGAAAGAGTAAAACTGAAAGGAAATGAAAGCTGAAGCTGAAAGCTTCACAGTTCTGGTCAAGAGACCAAGAGGCAAGTGGCTAAAGGGAAAGGTGAGGTCAAGCCCTCTTATAAAAGAACAAGAAATAAGATCTAGTGGCCCTGGCAGGGATGGCTCCATGGACTGAGCAACAGCCTGGGAACCTAAGGGTCACCTGTTCACTCCCGGTCAGGACACAGGCTTGGCTTAGGGGCCAGGTCCCCAGTAGGGGGCGAGCGAGAGGTAACCACACGCTGTTTCTCTCCTCCCTCCCTTCCCCACTCTCTAAAAATAAACAAGTAAAACCCTTTTCTAAATAAATTTAGATCCTAGGTGAATTAGAGGTCTAGACAAACAGGAATGGAATCACCTAATTCAATATCCTCAGGACAGTATGAACCAAATGGCCCATTATTAAATGAAAGAGGGCCTTGGCCAGGTGGCTCAGTCTGTTGGAGCACCGACTGGGTCACCAAAAGGCTGCAGTTCCATCCCTCCTCAGGGCACCTAGGTTGTGGGTTCATCCTGAGTCGGGGCTCCTACGAGAGGCAACCAACTGATGTTTCTCCCTCTTCCTCTCTTTCTCTAAAATCAATAAATCTACCCTTGAGTGAGAATTAAAAATAATAGTAAGTGAAAGAGGAACCTGGAGGATTAAACCTAAAGTAAAAATTCCGAGGCTGGTGCTGGCTCCAGGAGAAGGTCCACACACAATAAACTCCTGCAGAGCCCAGGTTTTAGAGTTACACTTAGGTTTTGAATTTTCTGACTCTACCATTAACTGGCAAAGCGACCTCCTCACATCATACAGAAGAGCTTTGGGAAACCATGTAACTATTCTGGTTTCTACATTTATTATACCAATGATGCTACATTTTTCACAGATCTTTTACTTTTCACATAAAGAAATAAAGTATGTCTGGATATTCTGGACCCCTCTGGAAGAGAAGGCAAAATGTAAACAAAGCAGTATTATTAGCAACCTAGGAGAAAATTTTTAGAGAAGCTAATCTCAGATCACACCCTTTAGGAATAATCTTCAATTTGCAGAACACCTTATCACAATCCTACAGGAAAGGCAACCTTGCATGTTTATAGCTGGGACTTTTCCTATGACGTAACCCTATGTACTACAGAGCTGATCTAAGACACCCCCTTACCTATGGAAAAAATCAGTTTGTCCACTGAAAAACAGTTATCTTACAATTGCCCTGTTAATGGCCACCATAGTCTGTTTTTGTCTCCCTTTGGAATCAAAAGTTGTAGGTGGTATTAAGGATGAAAATCAAA